TAATAGTTAATTAAAATCAATTAAGAATTCTTAATTCAGTAAATATATTTGAATCTAATAAAATGATTAAAAATAATAATTTACCAAAACAATATTTGATTTCTCTTTTGCAAATAATTAATAGGTTTAGTTAGATTATCCTTGATTTCTAATGAACTCTAAAAATAAAAGAGATTCTTAATTATCCTATGATATCGAATATAAAGATGTTTAGTTATAGTATTACTTTTTGATGAATCAAAATTAATGAGTTCTTGAAATTTATTATATTTAAAAAATAACTAGATTATAGTAATTATATAATTATTAAAATAATTTTAATAAAATCAATTAATAAATTTTGTTCTTATATTCATTCCATTACTTTATGTATTTTTTTCATAATACTCCTATTATATGCATATATTCTTTGTTTCTTTAGATACAAGCTGAGATTTTTTCTTAAAATTAATAGATCAAAACTTTTAAAAGCTCTATTTTGTTCAATCGTAAGACTAATCATTTCAATAAGATTGGAAATAATTAAAGAATGATTTCTAATTATGAATTCTCAATATCAATAATTTATTGAACAAAATAGTATAAAATAATTGAGAATAAAAGTTACTCCTTTTAAATTATATCCTATATGTTATTAGAATGTTTAGATTGTTATTTATACAATTTGAGGTAATGAGTTTAGAAAGTAGAAGAAAGACTTTTGTATAAAATTCATAAAGAATTTATTCTATATTGTACTAATAGAACTAATTTCAATTGAAATAAGTCTATATAATTAATAAAATAAGTTAAATCAGAATTAAAATAGAAATTGATCATTGATAATCCTTTTTGGAAAAAAGAGTTAACTAATGAAGGAGAGAGACATATTTATAAAGAAATAAGAAAAGAACTTAAAGTAGTAAATGTGTATAAATTTGAATTATAAAGCAGAAGTTATGATTATTAATTATATATAATAAAAAAAAGATTGATTTTTATGATAACAAATCTTTTGTATTGTTTTATATAAATTATAATTAGTATCTAGATTAAATACGTATTATCATAAATAATCTAGTTAAATCAAATGTTAAATGTATTTAAGTCTCAGTTATAATACAAGATATTTTGCTTGAATAAATAATATTTCAAAAATGCAATTGATATTCCTATTCTTCTTGATTGAAGTTTCGTATAATTGGAACCCCATTTTATCATCAAGAATAATAGAATCAATTGATAAAGAAAATATTATAATCAAAGAGGATTATTAAATTATTGCTGAGGGAAGCTTTTCTATCTCCTATCAAAGTTTGTAAAGCTATAGAGAATTATACATTATGTTTGATGCTAAAACTAATAAGAGTGAAAGTGAAATATTGATATTAGTTAATGGAGTTAGAAGAAATATAATTTAGGTAAAGGGAGTGTATAATGAATTTCATATGAAATTTTAACATTAAGCTCCAAATGTGGTGATATAGATAAGAATTGAAAAATAAACCAAATTAGAAATAAGAAACTTTAATATGTTTGTTTAAGAATGTCCAAAGGATTGTAAATATTGTCTATCAGGTGGATGTGATCTTTAATTATATGAGAGTTGTGATTAATTAAGATATAAGGACTTATGTGTAGAAGAATGTCCAGATGGAACTGTAGCTGAGTAAAATTAATGTATATAAGCAGGTATTATAAAATCTTAATATTTAGGTTTAAAAGAGATTGAATAAGTTAAATCCTTTTTGTAAGAGGAATTTTCAACAATCTAAAAATTTGGAGATTAGAAATTGCTTAAATTAAATTTTGATAATGATTTTAATGGATAATTGGAAATAGTGTTTAATTGTTATAGTAATTAAAAGAGAAATGCTGATCAAATAATTAAGGTAGATTTGATGAAGGGTTAATCTCAAATTATGTACCCATTTTTAAATACTTATATAAATTTACAACATTATAAAGAGTGTAAATCTAAATATGAATTAGAGTGTGTATAAGTGAAAGGTTTATTTGAGATAGACTTTCTAAAATAACATTAAGTAAATATTGATAGTTATACAAATGGGATTTAATAAATGGGGTATTGGGAAGTAGAAAGTCTTAAGATTTATAATTAAACAAAGAGATTTTATTAATGTGATATTAAGAATTGTAATTAATGTTCATTCAATAATATATGTTAAAAATGTCAAGATCAATTCTATTTATACTAAAACTAATGTATTAAAAAATGTCCTCTATTTACAATATTAGATAACTATAGATGTATCAATTTTAATGATAATCAACCATGTAATAAGATTTTATTAAAATTAGATCTAAAATTCTTAGTAAAGTTAGAATCTCCATTCTAAGATTTATCTGAAATTTTTGGTTAAATTACATTTGATTTAAAAGAATCAATTAGTTTTAGATATGAAAATGAAACAACTTTTATTGGAGGAGGATTATTAGATCAATGGAAACGCACTACATTTTCAAAATAATTAAATTTGGGAAAACACTATGCAATAAGAATTATGTTTAATATATCTTTAGAAAATTCAACTTTAGATTAGGATAGTTTTATTTATTCAATTGATGGAAAAACTTTCAAAGTTTTAAATAATTAAACTTATATTGATCAAACACTCTTCCATAATAAAAACATTCTAAATTTAAATTTAGGATGTAAAATCTCGAGTAATGGTAGATGTGTAATTTCAAATTACTATTTTATGACTATGAAAGTAATTCTATTTTTAAATATTCCTTTAGTGTTCTCATCTTTGTTAAAGTTGTACAGGTCCATTATAATCTGATTGTAAAGTTTTTTAACCCAATATTGAAAAATTTGATTATAAAAAATTCAAGTGTTTTGATGGTTATTATTTGAGTGAAAATGGTTGTATAGTTTGTTCAAAAGGTTGTGAATTATGTGAGTCATTCGATAGATGTCTCAAATGTTAAGATATAAAAGAAGCAGAATTTATTTGTAAGACAAATCTTTGAAAAAGTCTTCTTGATTTAATTATTGTTTATTTGTTTTTTTAATAAAATTAATATCATTAATATATTACATAATCAATGGCTATATTAATTATAATGATATTGATAATAATCTTGGCATAAATAAATTATGATTACTTTTATTTAATAAAATTTTTTATTAGAAAAGATCAAATTCTTTATTTGATTCATTTCTATTATACTAATACATTTCAAAGATTGATTAATTGTAAGTTTTATTATTTACAATTTAAATATGTTTTTATTCAATTAGAAATAATAAGGAAAGTATAATTTGGATGTATTAAATTAATAATTAATAAAAAAAGATATGTTGAAATAATATTTTATAGATGACCAATTAATTGATAAAATTGTAAATACAATAATAATCATAAATTAAATCCATTTACAATTTATAAATTCCTCTTTATAAGAAATTCTTAAGGGTTTTTCTACAAAGAGCTATAGTGATTTCACTATATTACTTAATTCATCTTATAGATTTAAATGAAATAAAGGATAAATAATAAAATTAAAAAAAATCATCCAGATTTTATGAATATTTTTAATCTTATAGCTGGTGTAATATTTCCTAAGAAGATTGTTAAAATATACTTTGTAAACTTACGTCTAAGTTAAATGTACTTGGATAATTGTTAAATTAAATTGTTATCTTTAATCTTTCTAATATAGAGCAAGTCCAAATTTAAATAATTGTAAGTTGATGATATTATTATATTTTGTTTGTAAGAGATCGTTGACAGACAATCATATTTTATTTATATATAATAAATCTAATCTGTATGATTATTGATAATGAGTATATAATAAGCCAAATTCTATTTAGAATACCAGAATTATCTAATCATATATGATAATAATAGTTAAAATGATTATTTTGTGTAAGATTAATAATAAATTACATACCGTTTTGTAATTCATCATGCACTAGACATAAAAATCTTAAACATAATATATTTCATCATGAATTCATATGAATAAAATTACAATACAAAATAAAATAGATAATGATATTGTGAAAGTTGTAAAAAACACTAAAAATGAGATTGTTGTTTTGAATGTACATCTAAATATTATTGTCTAATTTTTAAAAACGATTTTAACTTGATTTAGAAGTATCAAAATGAAGAAATGAAAAATAATGATAATGTTAATCGAATTATAAAAAATTATAATAAATCTGAAGAAATTATAATAAGATTTTTTCTGTAAATATTTGAGTATGTAGAAAAATATTATGGCATGAGTAAGATCATGCTTATCACTTTAATTAACAATAATAGCTATTTTTTAATCTAAAGAATTAATACTTGCTTGATTTCTATACCAAATGGGTAATTCTGAAAATTCATAAATGATCAATCAATTTAGAAATATTAGCTTGTGACAACAATTGCTGAAATCTAGATCATATGTACTTAAGATGAGTAATATTTGATTCTAAAAAAGTGTATAAACTAAATTTGCTATTTGAAGTATTCCTATTAAGTTAAAAATTGAAAATAAATAAGGTATTCAAACAGAATTTAGAATTTTTATAATTTTCAGCAAAATCTAGTAAATAAATTTGTTTTATATAAAGATTATTACCTTTTCTAGATTTACTTGTTCGGAATTGAGAAGAATGATTAGAATATCATGCGTAATAAAATTAGGAAATTAGATTTCCTTTGATAAATTCTGATTAAGAAATTTAAAATTTTAGTATATAATATTTTAATTTGAAGGACTTTCCTAGAGAATAATTTCATTTGAATTAGTTGTTTAAAGTAACTTAATGAATTAATATGGATTGAAATTTTCATGTTGTAGATCTAAAATTTTTAAGGCAAAGTAAGTGAATAAAAATAAAAATTTTAAATATAATTTTAGTAAAGAATTTTTGGGGGGGAGGATTTGGTTTGATTTCTAGAAGGCAAATTATTGAAATGAAATGATTCTGATTTAAAATTATTATATTCATATCAGAATTTATCAAATATATTAAGTATATCTCTGGATTTATGTAATATGGAAATATTTATATAAATAACATAATGAAATGGATATAATTGATCATCTTGAAATTGCTTATGTAGATAGTATAATGTGGTAAGATATTGAATATAAATTAAGGTTGGGAACTATTTAAATCAGAATTAATGGATAGTTCAACCTTCTCCTTGTGGAAAAACTCTAACAATTCACCAGGTTCAAATTTAGTTTAGGTTTGTGACTTATAACCAGTTCTGAACTCTAAACTTCTATAAGGGGATATAAATTTGACAAGAAATATTTTAATGCCAACTTCTAGAGCTTTCAGCAAAATTAGAATTAGTTTTGATATCTACTATATTAACATATGGAGTGTAGCAGAATCTATTACTGTTTATGCAAACAGTTTATTGGTTCAATATTAAAAACCTCCTCCAATTTAGTATATAGATTACCCACTAAGATTTTGTATTTCAAGGCCTTTTGGAAAATCATATGCTGAATACTTTTAACGTATAGATTAGGAAATATCATTTAATGATCCAAATTTAAATATTGAAATTGTTCATGATAGAGCTTCAACAGGAACGACCAGTGAATATGGAATAAGTAATTTCATTTTGCAAATATACTTTTGTCCAGATAGATGTGGGGAATGTGATGGAGAGATATGTTTAGTATGTGAAATTGGATATTAATTGATAGAAGATTAATGTTTATGCCATCCATTTCTATAATATTCTTATTATAATCCTGATTTAACATGTGTTGATGAATGTCCTTTGAATTATGTATCTGATTAGAATCGAATATGTTAATAATCAATTGTTAGTACAATCTACTCTGATCTTGTAGAAGATACATTTAATTCTTATAAATTTAAATTTGTTGCTGATAAATATTACAGTGTAAATTAAATGATGATTAATACTATTGGATTTAAATCTATTGCAGGTATGTTTTCTAATACAGATTCAATAATATTTGATGACGTCAATTTGCAGCCTAATTTTAAATATATCATCAAATTTAATCTTTATATTACTGGTAGAATATCAAAGTTCTTCCCTGAAAATATTTAAATTCTTTTTAATTAATATGTTATTGCTTATATGATGGATTTCAACTAAATTTAACTCACATCTCCAATTAAAACATCATCAACTGTAAGTTAAGCATAATCCTGTTCTATTCCAACTTATTCTTAATGTGCAACATATGAAGTAATTATGCAAGTAGAATTAACAGAATAAGTAACAGAGATTATGTTCAAAACTAAATTTTAGTTAAATACTCCAACAAGAACATGGGGAATTAGAGATTTCTAAATCTCTTAATATCAAATAACTTCAAATATTTTTTAATGTTCAAATAATTGTTACACTTGTAATTAATTTCAACCTAATGTATGTTTATCTTGTAATGGAAGTTTAAAATTGTTTAATGGTAATTGTGTGTAATAATGTCCAAATTACACTATTACTAATGTAAACTCTTGTGATGATCCCTAAATTACTTCAGTTAAGGAGAAATATCTACTTAATATGTATTATGATAGGAATTACTATTCTTAAGATAACATTGAATAATTACCATAAATTTCTTTATCCTATTTTATGAATCGAATCATATTAGGTGGATTTGGTATATGGTAAAATTAATAAATCAATTTTAAAATAAAAAATGAAAAATTAGTTTATAAAGTAAAAGTTTAATTCATGTTATTGTTTATTGATTCAACAAATAATTAAATTTTATTTCGTACTAGCATTAACAATGAATTACCATAATATAATATGTTTGGAAGCAGTATTTCAATTGGCAATCAAGTAGGTTAATCTTACATTGAAGTTGTTTAGAGTGTTTCATATGTGAAATCTTTTGAATCTACTTAAGATTTAAAACTTTAGTTATAATGCATCTAAGGAATAGACACTGAAGCCTATTGTGGTATTTATGACTTTAGAATTATTGTATCTACTTGTGATGATAATTGTTTAAAATGTGATGAAAATGGAAATTGCATAAATGAGATTGATACAATTAGCACAGATATCAATGGATGCAAAGATGGATATTACTAAAGTGGAAATGATTGTGTACAATGTATATTAGGATGTACATTATGCAGTGAAATGAATAAATGTTAAGCATGCAAACCTGGTTATGAATTAAAATTCAATATATGTTTTTGTAGTTCATTAAAAGAATAAATAGATTATTGTGAATAGACTAATTGTTTTCATAATTGTTAAACATGTTTGAACTCATAAGTAAGTTATGGAATTTGGAAATAATATCATCCTAAGAATTGTTTATCTTGTGATGAATCAAAAAATTTATGGCTTAATGTAAATTAATGCAGTTGTTTAGATGGTTATTATATGGAAAATTTCAGTTGTTATATGTGTTTACCAACTTGTTTAAAATGTTATTAATAAGCTAGAACATGTACTGCATGTCATCTTGGATAGAATAGAATATTAGATAAAGAATAATGTCGTTGTTAAAATGGATATTTTTAAGAAGATAATGATTTAATTTGTAGTAAATGTAGTGATTTATGTTAAAATTGTAATTTCACAAAAGATTAATGTAATTCATGTTATTCTAGTCAAAATAGAATATTAAATATTGATACATGTATTTGTATGGATGGATATTATGAAAATGGAGATTTAATTTGTAAAAGTATGAATTAATTAATTAATATTAGAATGTCCTTTAAAATGTAAAACTTGTTTAAATGAAACTACTTGTATAACTTGTAATGAGGATTAATTTAGAATATTAAGTATTGATAATATTAATTGTACTTGTTAATCTGGATATTTTGATTAAAGTTCTGAAAATACATGTGGAAGTATGTATTTTATTTGATGATTAGAATGTCACTTAAGTTGTTTAGATTGTAAATAAAATAGTAATATTGAATCATGTACAAGATGTCCTAATACAAGAGAACCTAAATATAAAAATAGTAATGTTTTATAATTTGAATGTAAATGTAGAAGAGGATACTATGAAACAAATAATTAAGAATGTTCTAGTTGTTCTGATTATTTGAATCCACCTATTAATCATTATTGTTATTCAAATTGTGGTGATAGTATAATATAATGGAATGAAGATTGTGATGATGGTAATAATATAGATAGAGATTCCTGTTTTAAATGTTTACATGGTAATTCATTTTGTTTTGATTATACTTGCACTGGATGTTCAGCAGGATTATGTACTGGTTGTATAGATGGATTTTATTTAAATCAAGAGTTCATATGTTTACCTTGTAATTCAAGTTGTAAGACTTGTATTAGTAGAGCTGATAATTGTACTGATTGTATTATTTATAATGAAGATTAATCTGGATGTTTAATTTGCAATTAAAATTTGGGATATCATATTATTGATTCTTAATGTGTTCCAATTTGTGGAGATGGTATTAAAGTTGAATTAGAAGAATGTGATGATGGTAATTTAATTATTGGAGATGGATGTGATTAATTATGTAAAATTGAATCTGGTTTTGAATGTGGATCTCATTGTTAATCAAGTGTCTATCCTAATATTATATTTGAAGTCAATAAATCAGACAAAAAATTTAATAAAGAAAGAGTTATTCGAATTAAAACAGATTCCTTAGTTTCTATAACTGGTAATATCAATTCTATTATTTAATTCAAAGTAAATAATTGTGATGAATATGACCTTACTTATATTGATTTAACAAAATATTCTGATAAATTCACTTAATTATTTTTAGAATTGACATTGATATTCAAATCATCTGTACCTGATCCAGAATTAGTTTGTTAAATTATTCATTAGACAGCTGTATTTAATTAAGAAGGGAATACATTTGCAGAAAAGAATTACATGATAAAATTAATGGAATATAAATAACCTACTATTTCTACTGAATAAGCTACTGATGGATTAATGAAATTAAGTAAATATGTACTTTACTTACTCTTTGGATTTGCAATATTGGCATTTCTATTTGGTGGATTAAATATTTTCTGGAATCTATTAGATGCATTACAATTAGTTTCTTATCTTTAATTTTTTAATGTTTAATATCCATACAATTTAAATAATTATTTTACTATATTTGGATTTGCTCAATTTGATTTCATTAAAGATTACTTAAATTTGGAAGCATTAATCAGCTAATATGTTAATACTCCTGATGCTGACCTTAAGTTTAAAGAAGAAGGTTATTCAACTGTTTTTTATGTCAATATTAATACTGTTTTTATTGTATTTCTCACTACTTTTATTACTTATATAGGATGTACAGCATTATTATCTACACTTACAAAGTTTTCACATTCATTTGTATATGTACCACTCAATTCTTAAGAATAAAGTATTTGTACCTTTTTCATTTACAGAGTAACAAGAAATTTATAAATATAATTAATGAATTTTAATAAAGCATTTACATCAGGTGTTATTAGAACATTTATGGCAGTAGCATTTGATTATAATCTTGCTTTGTTTTTATAATTGAAAGATTTTGATCTAAATGATCCAATCCTATTCACTAGTTTTCTCTTTTGTTTAATAGCTTTTGTCATAGAAATTTTATTCATCTTTATGGCTATAAACTTTATGTCTAAACCATCATTTGTATTTAAATAAAAAGTTAGTCTAGATAATTTTGGAGCTATTTATGAAGGAATTAAATTAGATAAAAATCCATTTACTTATTATTTTAATATCATACTCTTAATCAAAAAAATGTTATTTATGATGTGTTTGGTTATGTTTTATTCCTCTCCTTGTTTATAAGTTGGATTAGTTTCTATCCTTAATATTGTTATTGCTCTATATCTTATCAAAATTTAACCACTTGAAGATAAAGATGAATTATTTAAATAAATTGGATCTGAAATCTTAATTTGGCTTGCTGAAATCCTTATTTTAGGTTTTGCTATTAATGAATAATCAAAATCATTAAATGAAGACTCATAACTTGTGATTGGATGGTGTGTAATTGCATTAACTTCATCTTTGATCTTATTTCAATTATTCATAGATGTCAAATAACATGTCAAATTCTTAATTAGTGAATATTCCATCATCAAAAAATTGTTCTATAAACTCAAGCAATTGATTTTTAAAAAGGAACCTAATTATGAATAAAATATATTTCTCAAAGGAAGAAGAAGAATGGGAATTGAAAATTTGACATCCTAATCTAATATCATGACTAGTAAATTGAAAACCTAAAGTAATTACAAATAAGGAAGAATGGTAACATTTACTGTCAGCTCAAGTAGTAGCTGAAAATAATCTAAATCTTTTCCTGTGTATATTGTTTATTTATTTATACATCATTAAATTAATTATTCATATTCATAATCTTTTATTAATCCTTCCACCATCCATCATTATAATATATTTCTCATTAATCAAGTATAAAAATAATATACTTCCATTTATAATTACTCATATATATTAATTATTCATATTATTTGTATTGTCCTTAAAAAAGCAATGAATGATTGATTTAATCATGAGCTCTATGCAATTAAAAACCTCATCTTTACAGTTTATTGAAATTATTAAAAATGGAACTAAACTGATTCATATATTTTAATTATGATGAATGATATATTTTTATAAAATGATTGGGATGTAGATTTCAATTTATTTTTAATAACTAAGGAAATTAAAAATAAAAATAGTGTTTTTATTTCATTATATAAAATATTTAACTGTAAATGAAGTAATTTATCCAAATATTCTTGTCTTAGTTAGACTCCATCAATGAGATAAATGTAATAATATGGATAATAAGGATACCCATAATAATTGTAATAATATGGATCACCTAAAGCTGCAATTCCGTAAGTTTATTTTATATATAAATTAGTTCATTTCAATAGACAACATAAAATCAATAAATATAGACGTAACTAATTGATATATATATGAAAGATAATAAAGCAGATAAGGAAATAGAGCAGATGTTCATCATTTTGAAAGACCCCTTTAAGTAGTACCATAAGAGGATATTGAATAAAAATGGAAGGAGAAATGCTGTATTTAAATAGTTATATGAATAATAGTAAGACTAGAAATGCATGTATATGAATTACAAGTAGAGATATAAAAATTGAGATTGTAAAATAGTAGTGGCTAGATTACATATATTTAAGATGATACAAGAGTAATTTAAATATTTAGATAGTTAGATTAATGAATTAATGTAAGCAAATAGGGAGATAAGAAATTAAGAATAATAGATGAGAATATAAAACAAATAATTGTTAGATGATTTGGAATCTTGGAAATCTAGATATAAGTTACTTTAAGAATCTAATTCAAAGAGTTCAGGATTGGATGAAGAAATAAGATAGTTGAAAAAGAAGATAAATGAATTAACTGAAGATTTAGCAGGGAGTCATGAATAAATTTAATAAAGAGATAATGAGATTTTAAATTTGAAATAATTATTACATGATAAAGACAATGAATTAGATTAATTGGATGCTCGTATAAGGGAATTAGAAATGATGTGTGAGAATTATTCTTAATCAGAAACATAAATAATAAGTCTTTAAGGAGAAGTAGAATTATGGAAGAAAAAGTTTAAATAAGTGAATGAATAGAATTCAGATTTAGCAGAAAAGTTGACAATGGCTGAAACATAATTAGAAGCAATAAAAAAAAGATAAGTAACAGTCACAAAAGAGACTGAAGTAAGAAAGAGTGGTACTCATGGAGGAGGAACAACTTCAACATATGAATAGAATGTAATAAAAGGTGCTTAATTATTACATCCAAGAGGTTCATAATATTTAAAATGAATATTTTTGAAAAAACAAATTAAATAAAATCTTTTTTTATTTTTTTATCATGGGTGTTGGTAAACCTAGAGGTATGAGAGCTGGAAGAAAGCTCAAAGATCATAGAAGAGTTAATAGATGGGCTGATAAAGAATATAACAAGGCTATGATTGGATCAAGATATAAAAATCCATTTATGGGTGCATCACATGCTAAAGGATTGGTTGTTGAAAAAATTGGAGTGTAATTTATAATATTCTATTTTAGTGAATCTAAATAACCAAACTCTGCTGTTAGAAAGTGTGTTAGAGTTTTACTCAAGAAAAATGGTAAAAAAATATCAGCCTTTGTTCCAAAAGATGGTTGCTTGAACTTTTTAAATGAAAACGATGAAGTAACAGTAGCTGGATTCGGAAGAAAGGGACATGCAGTTGGTGATATTCCAGGGGTCAGATTCAAGATTATTGCTGTTAAAGGAAAATCATTACTTGCTTTATGGTTGGGCAAGGTTGAAAAATGATAGTACAAATATTATAAATATATATATATATTGAAGACCTCTTAAAAGTTCACAATTTTTTTTTTATTGAATTCAATCCCCATCATCTTCAAATTCCTTTTTTAATATTCATATATTTCTGAATGAAGCCAGATGAGATAAAATAGAACCATCTTAAAAACTTAAAGAAATTCTCTCAGGTAAAGTCTAAATTTTAATTTCATATATCAATCAATATATACCTTAGCATCTTTTGGAACCAATCTGTTTATCTCTCCAATCTATCTATATGGAAAACCTTGCATCAAGGAAGTTCCTCCTTTCAATGTTCTGGATAAAGGTTTATGCAAATACAAAATAACTATTTCAATCTTCTAAGTTTGACTAAAAAATGATAGTTCATAATTAATTCTTATCATATATGTCCTTTATAACAAATTTTTAATTTGAATATACTATTTTCATGATTCCTTTTGTATTGTTTATAATTTAATTTCTTATATATATATAGACAATTATTTACCACTGGCAATGCTTTATATTTTGGGTGTTCAATACTTAATTATTTGTTGATTTATATAAAAAGAATTGAAATTCATGTTTGGTTTATGATCTACTACAAAACTTCCATTTATTTACATTAAACACTTTTCTTTTGATAATATTAAAATAGATTGTAATTCTAATTTAGTGTCATATCATGTAAATATTAGGATTATAAATGTAAAAATGATAAAATTTATAATTTAATTAATTATATTTGGCTTCAAAATTTATAATTTGAAATGTGAAAAGGAAACATCAAGTGTTTAAAAATAAATATTCTTCTATGTAATTTGTTCTAATTTCATTTGATATTAGTTTTTGATTGCTCTGATAGAACAATTGATAACCGACATTCAATAAATTATGAAATATATATAAATAAGGATCCAATAATATTTTATTATAATTCCTTAATTTGTAAATTCTATAATATTTCTTATATTTGATGATATTATAGTTTAATCATTATTTTAAAAAGAGAGAGTAATAATAAATTAAATATATAAATTTTTGAAGATGATAAATCGATCACCTACTATGAAATCATATAATAAATAAAATCAAAGCTAAGATCCTTTGCTCATTTTAACCCCTCCAAGTAGTTTACGTGAAATAAGTTGTTCATTTAGAGGTAACCTAAATCGACATGCAACAATGTTTAGTAAGAGAAATAAATAAGAATAATAAGAAGATTAATAATAATAAAGATAATATAGGTTGTAATTGCAAAAAATATATCAAGAAACATTTATTAAATAATTACTCGATAAAGCTAAGCCATTTAGCAAAATGAACAATTATTAAAAGTAAGTACTTGATGACTTGTAATTTGGTTAAGATACATAAATAGATGATATAGATAGTAGTTGTTATAAATTTATGTTCAACTATTTCAACAATTATCCTATTATATAACCGTAAAGCAATTTAAAAATTTGTTCAGATATTATTTTCATTATAAACACATTGATAATATTGTTATGGTTGCCATTTAAATATTCTTTTGAATTTGATTCGATTCTATAAATATTAAATTATAATTATTACTATATAATAGAATACATACTCATAGTGATATTGATATTTGAAATAATTATCTAATTTAATTAGGCTTACATTTTTAAAGGAAAAGTAATTAAGTAATAAATTTTTATTGTATTAGTTAGCATTATCATATAATATATAACTATTTAAAATAAGACATGATAAAAGATCTTATCTGTTTAATTTCCTTGATAGTACTGTTATTTCAAACCTTTAAGACTGGAGAATTGAACATAGTCTTAATATGTATTTTTGGACTTCTTCAAGGATCAAAATTATTGAAGGTTGTAAATAATACTCTAGAATATTTTAATATTTAGTAGAATAATTTAATTCCATTGGTCATAAATTTAATTGCAATAATATATTTAATACATCTTGTATCTTGCATATAGTATACTTTAATAAAGGATATGAACAATATAAAATCGAATGTAATTTAAGAATATATTGAATGTTTTAATTGGGCATCCATTTATTTAACAAGTGCAGGATTTTCAAATATAGAATCTAGTAATAATGAGTAATTGATATTTTCATCATTAATATCAATAATATCTATATTAATAGATGGATTTATTACTATAAAAATAGGTTTATATTTATATAATAGTACCTAAAGAATTAAGCATAATTAATACATTAATATGATGACAAATTATATGAATATAAATAGCATACATTTGAATTTACAACATAGAATACGTAGTTATTTATAATACATTTATAAAGTAATTGAAATATATAATAAATTAGTAAGAACAATAAATGAATGATGAAGATATTACTTAAATAATGGGTAAATTGTCATACTAATTAAGAAGTGAATTGAAAAATTAATTATAAGCGAATATTTTAGAATAATGTAAAATGATATCTTCAAATTTCTCATTTAAATTTAGGAAATAATTAGTATATTATATGGAAGAATTGAAGACAGTACCTGAATAAAGAATCTTAACATTAAATGAATAAGATGATAGTTCTATATATTTTATCAATAAAGGTGAAGTGAATGTGATATTTGAATAAACAAATAATATGCATGAGAAATATACTCGTAATCAAATAAAGATATTGCAAAAAGGAGAGTACTTTGGATTTTTAGGATTTATAACTGGAAATAAAAGAACAGCCACAATAATAAGTAAAGGATTCTGTTAATTGTACAAAATATAAAGACAACATTTTGTAAATTTACTTGAATAATTTCCTGATGACAAAGAGAAATTCTATATGATAAAAGATAAGGTTTAATTTTAATAAGATCTATCTATGCTTGATGTAAAATGTTATAGTTGTAAATCAACTAATCATTTAGTTAATTAATGTCCATTTCTACATTTTTAACCTGATAAAGATAGAGTTATCAAATAATAATTGTATCCAATTTAGTAAGAAAGAGAAGAAATGTAAATTAATTAAAGATATATATATCTATAGATAACGTAAATCCAAGTACATAAATGCTTTGTTATAATAAGCAGTAATTTAAGATTTAGCTAAAGAATTAATGAATGATTTAGAAAATGTTGAAGCAAGTGAAAATATATCAGAAGGTGAATCTGAAGATATTCATACAAGAACTATTAAAAGTATTATGAAATTATTAATAGGCACTTCGAATGTCCAAACAAAAAGTCTAAGCAAATCATTTAGTTAATATAGCAATCAATTAAGTAAGTTTAGTCATAGACCTTCCTAAACATTGACAGTAGCATTAAGTTAAAATTATCAATCATAAAAATCTCAAGAAGAAATAGGGAAATTTGAATAAGAAGTGATAAAGAAAACGTCATTACATCGAAAGTCTTAATAAAAAGAAACAGCAGGTTTTGGAGCAAAATTTGAATCATAGATGCATAATCCAATCTAAGACCATGATGAAGATATACCAAATATTGATTTAATAGATGATGAAATCTAAGTGTTATAATAAGAAAGTTAAAGACCTGGTCAATAATTATATTATTCAGATAAAAGTCCTAGAGTTTACAGAAGGGTCTAATAAAAAGTTACATTTGATTAAAATCTATTTGGAATGAAGAATAGAAGGTCAAGTTTAATTTATGAGAATTATATTTAACAAATATATGAGGAAGAACATTATTAAATCGAATTTGTAAGATTAATTTAATTATCAACTTTAGCCAATCATAACTTAGCCTTCTGTAGGAGACTTCGATAAAATCTGTGAATTCAGAGAATATTATCCAGAATATAACATTTCTAGAGTGATTAGGTTTCTGTAGAAAGTGACTTAGATTTATCATAGACAATAGACAAATTCATTATATTCATTTTTATTTATAGCAATATAGAAAGGATATGCCATGAAAGACAAATTACATGATCACTTTCAAAGCAGAAACAATAACAAATCTAATTCTAATAGAAGAATATATAAGTATTTTATATTATTATATATTAATTAGGAAAGGTAAAGTCAAAACAGTTTTATTTTGAAATAAATAATCATGTTTTTATTTATATTTATAGTTTATTTTACTAAATGACAAATAATATAAAATATGCTAAAAAGAGATAAGAAACAAAAGGTTGACAAGATAGTTTAAACAAATATGGAGGAAGATCCAAGACAATTCTATTTGATTGACACTCAAGAAGAAATTAGTGGATAAATTTTAGAAAGATTGAGATAATAACCAATTGTCTAAATGAAGAAGGTACCTTTTGATAAAGAACATGGAAACACAATTGATAGTGTTCCTATTAACATTAAATCACATGTTAAATCAGAAAACGAATTATACTTTGAATTACAATACTAAAATCCAAACTTATTACCATCTTATTATCCATTCTATTTTTTAAGAGAGAGATTTCCAAAATTGTTAATTGAATATTATAAGAATAATAGTGTTTTAATATTGAAATGAAATCCAAAAAGTCATAATGATTTCTTATTAACTAATTTTCCATTATCATAAACATTTATACAATATGGTTTATTTTTTAATAACTTGAAAACCATATGTTCACCATGTTATTTACCTTAAACAAACTCACCAATCTCTCTTATACCATTCACAACATCAGTAAATATCCCTTATCCATCTCTTTGTCCATCTTTATAAGTACCTTCAAAAATGTTATCATTTATGTATTTATATACTCCTGATCCTTCTTTTTTATCATTCAAGTATTCTCCTGTATAACTAATTAAATTATTACTCAATACATGTCACCATTAGGAAATTTGACTATGGCACTTCCATGTCTCAACCCACATTTAAATTAACCAACATACAATTCTCCATTTTTATATTGATATGATCCTATCCCTTCTTTTCTATCCTATACATAATCTCCTTCATACTCATCTCCATTTGCATATTTATACAATCCTTTACCATTAAATAATCCCATTTTCCATTATCCTTAATATTCATCTCCTGTCGTATATCTCATTATTCCAAACCCTTCTCTTATATCATTTTTTAAATCCCCTTGATAATACTCTCCTTTGAATTAGGCATGAATCCCTCTACCTTCTATCTTACCATTTACCCATTTCCCCTATTTAATCCAGTATCGCTTTTTCTAATCTACTATTAATTATTAACCCCAAACAAAATTATCCTCTCTAAAAACACCATATTAATAAGTCTAAGCTGTTTTATTAAATAATAATCCTATCATAAAATTATATAATTCTTTACCTCTACCAAATTTCTTGTCTTTTTTGATTTCTCCTATATAAAAATCTTCATTTGGATATACAATTTTATTAACATCAGGACTTCGAGTTAATAAAAATTCAGGTTAAATCCAATCATATTTAATTTCATGAGATTAAATAAAATTTTTCAATTATTCATTATAAATATTCTTTTCCAGAATTTCATTAATATCTAAGAACTTAATTTTTTCATTTAAATCATTACTAATTTTTACCAAATCTTATATTCCCATTCTCTAACCTATAAAATTAGTTATTTCTTCAATATTATCTAAGACTCTTTCATCATGAAAAGTTGCTAATAATTCACATTATTCATTTGTAAATTAATTTATATTTCCTTATTATAAAATCACAAAACTATCTGCTAAATCTTCCAACATAGAATACAATTATTGTATATCATGAATATAAAATTAAAGCAATTTTTCTAATTATTCATTGATATTCTAAACTACTGATTTAAATTAATCTGCTTTTTGTTATAATATTATAGTAAGTTGCAATTTATCAAATTTAGCAATTGAATCCTTACATAATTATTGAATTTATGAAATTGTTTTAACATCTTTGACATGATCACTATGATAATCCTGATAGCAAAAGCAACACATCAATCTTTTATCACAATGAGGGTTTAAACAAATAGCTATTAATTTGTTAGACCCTTAATCATGTTGTCTTTCACATTTTTTTTCAGTTTTTATATATGATTATGATTATTGCATTAATATTATTTTATTTTCAATAATTTAATAGATAAATAATTATTATTTCAAATTAATTATTGCATTTTTTACTACTACTCAAATGCAAAAATATATTTTAAATAAAATATACATTTCATTATTCAAGTGGAACATCATATTCAAAGTCTTTTGTAGTTAATCCTTTACATTAATACTATCCTTCTCTAATAAAATGTCCTCTAAAATATCTATAATTTTTATATTTCTTTTTTGTTTCACTCATTTTCTTTGGTACTTTTATCTATTTTACTAAATCTTCCTCTTCTAATTGATAAACATATGGATTCTATTATTCTTTTTTTTTATTCTTTTCTTCATCATTTCCTTATTTCTAAGAATTTCTTTTTTTCTTTGGTTTCAAAAGTACTGAAAATTATTCATTTTCATTATTATTAGATTCATTAAATAATTAAAGTTTTCTTGAATAATCATTTTCTAATAAAGTCAATTTATAAATTGGACATTGTTTGTTTTATTCAATTGTTTTATATAACATTGGATGAAATGTTAATTAATTTGCATTATTAGTAAAGAATCTATTAATCCTTCTAAATTCTTCCATCAATTATAAATAAAAATAGATCTTTTTAAATTGATGTCTAGTTGTTATTTTTGAAAATTTACTATATCTCTCCTCTCTTGATTCATTAAAACAACTAGCATAACATTTTAATAATTCTTATAATTTCATTGCACTTTCTCTAAAATCTATTACAAAATAATCATCTTTATATTCTTATATATCATGATCCAAAATTCTTAACATTGATAATACTGTTATAGGTTATATCATTGTATGTTTTTAATAAAAATCAGATCTTCTTAATGACTTTATCACTGAAAATATATAACAATCTTTAAATCCTAATAATCCTGGTTTCAACCATGTTTTAACATAATCAGCATATCTAGTTGAATATAATTATATTCCTGTCAATCTTTTGAATTCATGTTTTGCATATTCCATATTACCTCTTGTTTTTATAGCTGTTTCAAATAATGTAGCTAATTATTCCTTAGACATATTTTCATTGTAATCAACAAAAGATTCCCATCTAAATATATTTTATCAATATTTCTACGCTCTTTTTAATCTATAAGCCTTCTCAATTTTTATTCCAACCTGAGCTTCTAAATGTCTTGCAACTTATCCCCAATTTTTACAATTAGGTCCACCATGCACATCTACTATTTAAACTAATTCTTTAGATATGCTTAAGTATTTCCCTTTACTCTTTTGTCTATCCTTTTATCTCATTAGAATAAGTAAAATTATTCATTATTTTTTCCCTTTCTATTTCGCATTTTAATTTTTGTCAAAAATATTATAAACATTATTATAAAAATAAAAATAAATCTCCTTTTACTTATTTATATATAAAATATTTATTTATATCATAATACTCTATTCACCATTATTTAATATATTACTTAGTTATATAATCTTATCTTAATTCATAAATTAACTATGAAGTTGCTAGTAATAAATATTTATATATTAATATTATTTTTGGTATATAAAATATGAAATTATTTCATATATTAAATTAAATATCTTAAGTAAATTAAGCAAAATACAAATTAATTAAATATCAGCATGTTTGTCTTTCGATAAATGCCTTATTTATAACATTCCATATCTTGGAATGTAAAAAACAAAAAGTAGTTCCTCCTCTTTTATTTTAGGTTGTCATTCTATTCAAATCAGACATACAAACATATGGCATTGCACTTTATACAGAAATACCGAATTTTGAATGATCTTTTGTATATTTAAATTTATAACCCTAAAAATAGAATTAATATTATACATTATGATTTCTATAAATATTACTATATGTTTGATAAGTATTTGAACAAACTGCTTCCTATAAGCCTCCAGTTCCATTTCCCCATGTTTCCATTACTAAACCAACTTTTAAAATAGGAGCAACAATAGTAGCATAAAAGTCATCCACTAAATTTTAGTTCTTTGAAATAACATGAATATTCATTCCATTCTTGCTCTTTACTTAAGTAGTTCCACTTTATGATGGAATTTTTCTTGAATTATTTCTTAAAGCATAAATATTTGGATAAGTTGACTCAAAAGTACTAATCTCATTAGCTTTTTGAGTTAAGGTTTAAGCAATAATATATTGCTCAGCTACAACATTAATTTGGGATGTTGTCATTGTGACACAAAAATAATGTTGTCCATTTACACTAGAACTACTTGGCATTCCAGGTATAATATTACTAAATTTATATTACTAAAAATTTACTTTTAAGTATCATCAAAGACAGGGAATTATGGTGTTGAATGATTAATAATGAATCCTTATCCATTAGAAGATGCTGATAGTATACCTTTGGAATGAGCTCTATCAGAGATAGTTGATTTTCCATAAGGTTAATCATTCCATACTACATTCATAGTTGTACTTGAAGTAAATGAGATTTGACTCACAGTTCTTTATAAGGGTGATGTATGATCTCTTAAATCATCATTCATTAGATTCATAGTAGAACAGTCATTTTGTGAATCACAATAATAGTATTCAAATCCACTATATGGTATATTAGAATCAGCAGGTAGTTTGAATATCAGCCACCAATCAACTTATGATCCTGTTGTACTTAAACAACTTTGACTAAAGACCTAAATCACAAGAACTAGCAGAAGGATTTTCATTGTTACAATTATCGTAAAATAATCTTTTAATTTTTTATTATGATATCACTTTATATGTCATCTGACGCACTTTTTATGTAATATAATGTTATTTAAAACCATAAATCATTGTACAATACTATTCAATAAAAATAAATTAAATGACATTTATTATTAATAATAATACAAAAATTTTTAAACATACTATTTTTTACAAATTCTATATAATTTATTTATTTTTCTCTTTTTATTAATATTTCTGTCGCTCCAAATTTCTCATAATGATATAAATTCAATTTATTAACATTAAAGTGCTTTATATTTTCTATTTAATTATATCGCATCGACTTAGAAATCAACTTTTATAATTTACATCATTAATTAATGATCTCTTTAAAAATCACAATTTTATTTATATATCTAAGAATTTCTAAAGTTTTAACATAATCATTCTTATTTATGAATATTCTAATACATCTAAATGTTTGATCAAATAAAAAAATATTTCAAATTCATATTTTTGATAACCTTTTGATAATTTACATAAATTACACAATATAAATATGCTTTCCCAAATATTTACAATCAATACTTAATAATCATCTGAAAATAGTACTTATACATACATAAATTATATTGTTATCAATTTTTAATTTACTTATGTAAAGGATACATACTGTGTATTTTATAAATTAAAGTGAAATGTATACATTGTAAATTCATAATGAATAATATCAATATTCTTATCAGAAAATAAAGTTCTAATGGATGACTAATTAAAAAAAATAAATAGATATTTAATAATCTTCATATCAAAATACGTCATAGAAAAATACTAAATAAAAATTATGAAAATATGAAAGGAAAATAGAGATGATGATTAGAATTGAGTATTTTAGAGTGAAATGGATGGTTATTTTAAGTAAATTGAATATAAATTTTATTGATTATATTTATAAAAATTTGTCAGTTAATCGAACAATCATGTAAAGAAAAATAGAATGTTATAATAAAGGACTTTTTACTTCAATGTCTCAATTTGAACTCAAACAAAGATCAAATGGTAAGACTAGTTTAGGAACTGGATCTTTTGGAACTGTTAATTTGGTATAACATGTTAAATCATAATCACTTTATGCTATAAAATCAATTTAACAAAGCAATATCTAAACTCCATATGAATAGGAAGGAGTAGAAAGAGAAATAAAAGTACATTTAAAGTGTCATCATCCAAATATAGTAAATTTGTATGATAGTTTCATTGAACATGGAAATGTATATATGGTATTAGAATATGCAGAGAATGGAAACTTATATAATTATGTATAAAGAAGAAAAAGATTAGATGAAAAAGAAGCCTGTAAATACTTTATTTAAACTTGCAAAGCATTGCAATATCTACATGAAATAAATGTATTCCATAGAGATATTAAAGTAATAAATGATATAAACATATATAGCCTGAAAATCTATTATTAGATAGTAATAATGATATAAAATTATGTGATTTTGGATGGTGTGCTGAGAATATTCATCTTAAAAGAAAGACATTCTGTGGAACATATGAATATATGGCACCTGAAATTGTCTCTGATTCACCATATGATTATAAAATTGATATATGGTCAGTTGGTGTATTACTATATGAATTATTGCATGGATATGCTCCATTTAAAGGGAAAGAGTATAAGGAAATTGCAGCAAATATAAAGAATGGCTTAATACGTTATTCCAGTTCAATAAATGCAGATGCTTAAGATCTAATAAAGAATATATTATAAAAAGATCCATCTTAAAGATTATCATTCAAAGATATTTATCAATCTCCATTTGTTCAGAGATGTTATCCATAATAAGGATGTAATAATTTTATACAATAATTATAATAGAATTAAAGATATCTTTGTCTCCAAGGTCTAGTTTTTCAGTTGATTAAAATTCAATTTAAAAATATTAATCTCCTTTGATAAGTCATAAATAATAACCAATTGGTAGATTAAATTAAACAAATGGTAATAATTTGAATAATTCTTCATCTTTGAGTATTAAATCTCCTAATATATCTAAAACTAGAGTTGATTCAAAAAAATAATAAAATATATTTGATGATATTAAAAAGAAAATCATATATGAATAAACTAGTCCTTTAAGAGATGCAACAAATATGCATAAAAGAAATTAAGCTAGTTTAACTAATTTAATTAAGAATTCTAATACTAAAATTACTTAAATAAAAAGTCCTTAACCTAAAAAGATCTAATTAAGTAAATACTGTTCAAAATCAAGAAATTTTGATGAAAATGGAACTCTTAAATTATTAGATTAATTTAAATCTATGCCATCATTTACAATTGAAGATCAATAGCATACTTTTGAAGAAGAAAATAGATTAAATTTAAAGACTGATAGAGTTATTAAAGGGTAAAATAAAGATTGTATTTCTAGATTCAAAAAGGAATCTCATCAATCTTAAGATTTAGATAAGATACTAAAAATGTATCTAAGTATGTGCAGTAGTAGATAATGAATTGTTGTTTTTATAATTTAGTACTTTATAAATATTTTTCATTTCTAATTATATTCTAAGATCGGTCAAAGAAATTTATTAGTCGTTAAATCTGAAATTATATAATTAAATCATTTACAATAAATAAATATAATATGATATTTTATATAATGATATTCTATATTAAATAGATAGAGAATGAATTAAATGTATATTTATATTGATATAATTTAATCATTTTCTAATCACAATTTATAATTTAATTATGAATTTGTTAAAATAATCATAAACCATGTCATAAAGCAAAATTAAAAAATGTAAGAAGTTTATAAGATTAGTTACTAAATAGATGATTCTAAAACAAATTAAAAAATTCATCCTAAACTTATTTAGCTACTAATTCAAATTTGTCCATTTTTGTGAGTTAGCTTGAATTATTTCAATATATAAAAATCCCAAAATCGGTAAATATATTAATTCTTATTTAATATTCAATAAATGGGAACTCTAAAAACTTTATTAATTAGCATATATGTGATATTTTTATTATAATATCCAATTTTTATTATTATTCATTTAGTCCATAGATTCTATAATTAATTTAAATCTCAAGTCATTTTAATTACATTTTTAATATAAAATTAAATCTAATGAATACTCAAGACCATGATGCTGGGGTGAAAACAAGATCAATGAATGTAAGTGAAAGACTAGTAGATATGTCTGCAAAACGAGTTTATTCTCATATATCAAAAGCAAAGAAAACATAGTTAATTCAAACTGTACTGAAATAAAAATGCAAAATTAAGAAAGTAAGATTTTCTAAAAATTTTAGATAGCAAAAGACCTTAATATTAACTATGCTACTGCTAAAACTATACTACATTGCTATAAGAAAAAGGAAATTAGTTTGGATGAAGATTCAGAGTTAAAAAGGGCTAGTTATAGTTCATTAAAGAATGACCCTAAATTATACGTTTAAATTAAAGAAGGAGAAAAAGTAATAAACCACTATGAATATTTTGATGTGATAAAAAGAAGCTAATGATTTTTTTTTAACTCGTCTTAATTATATATTTTACTATATATATATATATACAAAAAAATAGAAAGTTCCTAGAAAAATTAAACGACTAGGACTGGAATCCTTAATGTAATACTTAAATAATATCATAATAAGTAAAGAATTGGCTTGATTATTTTAATCCAATATATTTATTTAATAAAACTTAGAATATATTGTCATTTATTGGAATTATTGAGCCTTAATGTTTAATTTATGAATTATATATTCTAAATTCTTTATAGTATTGTTTATTTTGGATATAATTAAATTATCACAAACTCCTTCAATATTTAAATTTTTAAACAAAAGAACTAGGAATTTAAGAGGAAAGTCGATGTAGAATTGCTAATATATTTGTAATATAATAAATAAAAATATATCAATGTTATAAATTTTAAGTGCGTCCTTAAAATATGTTACAAAATGACTTGCAAATCAAAAATTATTTTATATTTTGAATTGTAATCAAATATGAATGACCACTAAAATGATTTAGAATTAATTAAGGCTAAAGTAGTCGATATTAATAATCATGTAATAGGTAAGAAATAAAAATAATAATTATTTAGACTTCATTTGTATTGATTAAAAATTATTATCTAAAGTAATTCACTAAGCAACATATTTATTCATTATTGAATAATAATCATTGAGAGTTTTTTGTCACAAACGATCTTAATAAAAATAATACTAACCTGGAGCTCTTAGCACTTGTTTTACTGGGATTGTTCTAGAGTCTGAAGATTATCGTTAATGTGCTAAAAGAAAATTAACTTAAGAAACAGGATTAGAATTAGATTTGACATATTTAAACTCTTTCTATTATGAAAGTAAACAGAATAAAATTTGGGGATAAATATTCTATACATTTTATGATGGATAAATTATCAATTTTATTTAAGACCCAAAAGAAGTTTAAGAGATTGAATTGATGTCATATAGAGAGATTATTATACGAGAATAGAATGGAGAGAAATTCATTCAAGAAAGTATGCAAGCACTTCATTTTTTAAATAAAAGAGTACTTCGTTAATGAAATTAATATAGCAAATAAAATATTGATTTGTTTATTTTGTCACATGTCTATTTATATTAAAATATATTATATTATTTTGGATTTATTTAAAATTTGTTTGAGAATGTTTTTAGAAATTATATTTTATAAATAATGAATTATTTAGTATAATCATTGATTTATTTTATTTATCTTTTGATGACTAAATTTAATAAAAATTGATATTAGTTTAATTTATTAGATTATATTGGTTGATAAGTTTGATGTAAATTTTTACTATAATTGATTTAAATGTTAGTTTTAATTATAATTATTAAAATACATATAATAATAGTATATATATTGATGTTACATTGTTGTAGATGCAATAAAAGTAGATCTCCAAAAGATAGGAATAAAAGTAATAGTAAATTAAAAGATCATTAAATTGAATAAAGAATTTAATAATCTAATCATTAATAAGCATACATTACAAAGATTAAAGAGAATGAATAAATGATTCTAAAAATGTACAAAGAATTATAAGATGAAAATAATAGACTAAAAAGTCTTATAAATTCGTATTGATTATTTTTAATATGATGTAGATTAGAATAAGAGAAATTAGAATTACAAGAGAAATTCAATTAGTTATAGATTTAAAGCATACAATTTATACCTTAAAGTCATTCCAGATCAATATTAGAGGAGACTAATATGCATTTTAGTACAAAACAATAATCTTTTCAATTTAATGATCCTAGTATTATAAAATATTAATCGTTAAAAAAATTATACGAGGAATTAATTAAAGATAAGGATTGGGATATTTAAAAAAAGAATTAATATTCATCATCAATATAGTTTCTGAATAATATTCTTTAATAAAAATAAGAAGACTTAGAATTAGCATAAAGTTAAATCATTAAATAGAATAAGATTATTGAAGAATATGAGTTAAAATATAATTAATTATTATGTAATAAATATGATTAATAAATAAGAGAATTACTAATAATTATAATAGGAGTATTATTAAAGGAAGAGATCATTCTAAGAATATAAAACTATAACATTATCATAAGATAATCCATATAATGGAGTAATATAAGAGGCAATTAAATTAAATCCTTAGAAAATTGTAATAAAAACTATAAATTGATATATATATTTATATTTATAATGATTACTCATAGTGAAATTAAAGAATTTCTACCTTAAAGTGTTAGTAAATAGTATAAAACAGAACCAATAGATTAAAATATTAGTGATCTATCTTTTAGTTTTACACACAGTTTGAAAAGTAGTATCAAACCAAAATTGAATGATTCAATACAATTCGAAACCTAGATATCTTAAAGAATATAAGCAAAACCTCCTTTAACATCGAAAAGTAATAAAAAGTTTTCAATTCCAATAATCAGAGATAAAACATACTTTAATTCTGAATTGATTAGTGATTAAATGTCTACTCCAAGATCAAAATTGTAAGATTGTAAATTTTAATTAATAAATCTAAAGCTATAAAATTAACAAAACCAAAAGATAAATAAGTAAATAGTAGTTGATAAATTATCAAAACAATTAAAGTAATCATCAACAATCAATATTACAAAATCAAAAGAAATGATATAAATTGAATTATTATTGGCTGCATATAATTAATTACACTTAAGTCATTCATAATTGAAATAATAGAATAAGATTTTAGAATAAGAAATATCTATATGGAAATCAAAATATTAAGATTTGGAAAAGAAAACAAAACAAAATATTCATTCTAAAAGTACATCATTATAAGTTTAATTCAATAAGCCAATGAATTAAAATATATAAGAAAGATTAAAAACATAACCATATTCATCAAATACTTTTAAGTTCTCCTTAACAGACACTATTAAATATTGATTTATTTTATTTATACTATATATATATTTAGATATTTTATATTAATCAATATTTTCTATATCCAAAATTACTTTAATTAGAATATTCTTCATAATTATTTTTCATCTATCTCTATGATTCAAATTATTATTAATTCATTAATTATACTTATTATTAAATTTCAATTCCACTTTTCAATTGACCTTATGAAATCATCTATTCAGATTATCTTATTGATGCTTTACTATTATTAGCTGTTACACTATTAGATTTCTTAGTAGTTATTTCTGGAGGTGCCAATTTATGAATATTTATATATTCAGGTAAATCATAATTAACTACTTTAAGAAATTCAGTAATAAACCCACCTAATTAAGAACTAAATATTTATAAATTAAATACGATTTCTCAGAATCAAAACTAATTTTTGTTTAATAAAGAGTATAACGTTCTGTAAATTCTTATGCTTATATAAAATATTGTTCATTTTCCTATTAAGCTTTAGATTTCATAAAAGTTAATAATGGCTTCATAAAATTTTAATTCTTTAAGTTATCTAATAATTCAATATGTGATATCCATCTATTTTGTATTGCTTATTAAAAGAATTGAGAATCACGTTTATAATTGTCAATATTTTTTTAATGTTTTCCTTAAACATCTATAAGTAATGAATTGAAATGTTAATCAATAATCTTAATAATTCTCTCCTTCTTTTCTTTTAATAGTTTTATACATTAAATATTCATTTACTCTGCCTTTAATAAAGAATTATTAATATTCTAATAACAATATGCCAATTTATTAGCTTATAAATATTTCTTATAAAACCTTCATTATGCATTGTCTTTTGTACTTTATTTAGGACATTTTATAGAGTATCTAATTTAGGTGAAGATTTGTTTTCCTAATGTTCATGTATATGTTAATCAATACATTAAGGACATAATGGGAAAATACATTCTTCAAATTAACAGAAGTTTGAATAATCGTAACCTTAATGATTGTGACATTTAATCTATTAATGATATTAATAAAAAATACTCTATGAATATTGTCACTATTAAATTCTTTACAAGTATCAAGAATTTTAGGAACTTTTAAAATATTTGAAGCAAAATTTGATTGAACCATTTAATTTAATACCTCTTATTAATACGTTATTTATCCTAAAGAAGTGACAGAAACTGGTTATCCTTTCTACATGATTATTATTAAATATTAAATTTAGTTATAAAATTCATAATTCTAATAGTTAATTGATTTATTCCTTATTACTTTCCATTTCTTCATCCTTAAGCCATTTAGTTCTTTATCCATTTTACCACATTCCAATTCTATATTAGTTTTCACTCTGATAATATATTCCAATACCACATTATTTTCCATTAATCCATGTTCCTGCATATTTCCTACCATCTCCAAAATAGAATACACCTCTACCTTATTTTTTATCTTATTAATAATTCTTTAATAATCAAATAAAATACTCCTTTATATTATTTTCCATCTGGCCATTTAAGAGTACCTTCTCCATGCATTTTATTATCTAACCAATAACCAATATATTCTCTTCCATCTGGCCATTTATAAACACCAAATCCAGAAATTTCATTATCAATGAAATTACCTTTAATTTAATGATGAAAATTACCTTCATAATTAGCAGTATCAACAAATGTTAATTATCCTTTTCCATTCTTTTTACCATACTTATATTGACCTTCATATTTTGCTCCATCAGGCCATACTTCAATACCATAACCATGTTAATTATCATTCAACCATTCACCTTCATATCTTGCTCCATTAAAATGAACATATGTTCCTTTACCACAAGCTGCATCATCAACCCATTCTCCATCATATATATCTCCATCAGCATGAATTAATTTTCCCTTAATATTAAGAGTCGCTTACTTATCCATTTGATTTATCTTCTTTCCATTAACCTTCATATATTGATCCATCTGGCCATATTTATTTTCCATAACCATCTCTCATACCATTAAGCCATTATCCTTCATATTTGGTTCCATTTGGCATTAACATAATCTAATTAAATTGTAAATGTACTGGAAGTAATTTGCGTTCTTTATTTTAAATAGTTTCTATAACTTATTATGGTATTGGTTATTGAGTTGAAATCAAATTTTTGGAGATATCTTAAATTGAAACTTTACTATGAATTGAATTTTTCATAATGCCTGAGTCTAAATCATCTTGAATAAGTGCATCTATTTTATCTGATGTTTAATCTTTTTAATGTTTATGATGTTTAATGGAAACTTAAATGGATCTAGTAGATATTTTTTATGATGTTAATTCATCTTTTTAACAACATTATGTAGCACATTTACATTAACCCATTTAAATATTTATATATGTAATATTAATATGATAGCTCATCTATTTCTAGCATTGATAATTTTATTGCCCTTTCTTCTTATTTATTTCTTTCTAGCTCTTTTCTTTTTCTTACTTAAACAATCTAAAACTGCAATAGATTATTCACAATAATGATTAATTGTTGGATCTCTTATAATTGATGTAAAAATCTAACTCTGAGGTATTTAGTTTCTTTGAATTCTTAAAGCCTATAAATAGACTTATGGTGAATATAAATTTGAAGATGACATGAGTCTAGGATAAGGTATTGCAATTCTTCCAATTTATGAAAACACTCTTTACATTTTGAATAATAAATAAATAAATAAATAATAAAATATATTAAGAATGAAGAACAATCTCTTTGGAGGAATACCATTCAATTGTGGTGAAAGATATAGGTTGATCAAATTAGTTGGTACAGGTGCCTATGGTTCAGTAGTTCTGGGTTTTGATCAATAAAACTAGAATATGAAAGTTTAATCATACTCCTATATGCATAGGTGGCTATTAAGAAACTAAATTAAATAGAAGATGTCATTGATGCAAAAAGAATACTAAGAGAAATCAAAATATAAAGATCTATGAATCATTAAAATATACTCAAAATATATGACATTATTTATGACAAAAAGATTGATCAATTTGGAGATATCTATATAGTAAGTCCTTACTTTCCAGTTGACTTAGATAAAATTATTAAAAGTAGTCAAGAATTGACAGTAACATAAGTCTAATTTATAATGTATTAACTATGCAAAGGACTTTATTATTTGCATTCATCTGGTTCTATACATAGAGATATTAAACCAGGAAATATATTGGCAAATGAAAAATGTGAAGTTTGTTATTGTGATTTTGGTTTTGCTAGAAAATATGATGAACTTCATGATTAATTTGAAGAGAATATGACTGAATATGTAGTCACTCGATATTATAGAGCTCCTGAAATAATGTTATCTAGTTAATAATATTCAAAACCAGTAGATATATGGTCATTAGGATGTACATTTGCAGAACTTATGAGTCGTAAAACTTTATTTAATGCTCCAAATTATATCCAAATGATTAAAATGTTCTTTAATATCTTAGGTAAACCATCAGATGAAGAACTTAATCAATTTGTTACTAATGAAAATGCTCATTCATTTCTATAAACTTTACCACCTAAACCAAAATAACCAGCATCAAATAGTGTTCCATATCCTGATCATAAAGCTAGAGATTTACTTGATTAAATGCTTGAAATCAACCCTAAAAATAGAATTACAGCTTAAAAAGTATGCATTATCTTACATTAGTGTTTAGAGCACCCTTTTTTCGAATCAATTAGAAAATAAGCAGAAGAAATTACATTTGCTGGTAATTTAGAATGTGATTTTGAAAATGATGATTCTATTACTTTAAATAATTTGAAATAATTAATTTTGATTGAAATCAACCAAATTAAAGTAAAGAATAATGAAGTATAAATTGATATAGAAGAAGAAATGAAAAGACTTAACCTTTATTGATTTATTTAATTATTAAAAAATATTAAAATATTTCATTATTTATTTTTTCTTTTGTTTTATCAAAATATCTTATTAATATATATGATATATAAGTAATAAATAATATTTAGATTCTATATATATTGTATAATATGTTTTATATTATAAAAATAATTAAATGTAATTCTATCAGCTTATATAGATTCATAATTTATATCAAATCCTTGAAGAAATGTAATGTGATCTTTAATTAATTTATTTACTAAAATTACTACTGAGAAATAATTATAAGATAAGAATATATAAATTATGATTTCTTAACGATTAAAAGTGGATATCTATGATAATTCAATTCCTAAATATAAAATATAATTGACTAATCGTCCTACTTATGAAAATTAATCAATAAATCTAAGAAAAAAAATGCATATTAGCATACAAAAGGATTCAATTTAAATCTAACAGTTATAGAAATAACAAAATAAATTATGGAGATTAAGGGTTTAGAATACTTAAGAATATCATAATAATTAATCTAATTTAATATAAAGATCAAATACAATAAAAATTGAGAATTCTAATTCATTTAACAGTAAAAAATGTGTCAATCTCATATATAATAGTCCTTTAAATGTAATTAAGTAAAGGGGGAAATCAAATAAAAATAATGTAATATTTATATTAAATAATTAAAGGAATTTAGATAAATAAATAGATCTTTAGATTGTAATAATATGATGGAAATTTTAAATGAGAAAAATTAGATATACAAAAGAAGAACCTTAAGATTAAGTTTGGTTTGATTTATTCATATTTTAACTTTTATCATATTATTTTCTTTGGTATAAGAAGATTGGTTGATGTAGCAATGTTATTCTTTGGAGATATCACTAGATTTGTAATTGTATTTCTTCCATAAAACCTTTATGTATTTATAACAGGAATTTGAGTTTTATCATATGTTTCAACTCTATTCCTCAAAGTTCCTGGTTCTAAAGCAGAATCATTATTCATTCTATTTAACCCCATAAAAAAAGATGTATCTGATTTTCGAAAAGAATTTTATTTGATAAGTGGTTTTTATTTTTATTTAATAGGACTAAGAGATATTTATGTTGATTCTGTTAATGCAGGTAAAAGGAGTTTATTTGATTATGATCCTCTTAGATTTTTTTTAGGAGACTCTGGATCTATAGGAATAATAAATTATTCATTATCAATGCTAAATTATTATTGTAATTTTATTTTTTTTAATTCTCTAATTGGTGATTCATTAGTTTAATTAAGAATAGCATTCAATTAATAATGTTTACCTTTATAAGGAATGTTATTAAGTGTTCGATATGATTTTAATATTTTACTAGGTCTTTGTATTGATAATTTATTAAAGAATTATTAATTTTTAGGACTATTAGTATCTTCACATTCCTAATCATAATTATCTTCATCAAATTCAACAATTGATATTTTAAAATCTCCTAAATCTGTTTTAGATTGAATTGGAGATTATTTAATAGAATCTTATTGAACTTAATTTAAAAATAGAACAGCCTTAAAGAATTAAAAAAACTAAATTTTATGATAAAAAAAACTTTTACTTTTTTTTTTAATTCTTGACAAGTTCCAAATTCTTTAACACTCATAGGAATAGGATTATTAAAATTTCTAGTTATCCATGGATGAACTAATGCTTAAGCAGCTGTATATCGAGAATCTTAATCATATTATAATAATCTTTATAGAAGATCTCTTGCCAATGGTGATGCATGTAAAGGTTGTTCATATTTAAGATCTGGAAAACTATTTATAAATTCCTTTTTGGTTGAAATTCTAGGATAAAATGGATGCTTTCCTTGATTTAATAACATAAATAAGACAACCCCACATGACCACATATCAACTGCTTTATTGTATGATTTATTTAAAATTTATTCAGGTGCCATAAATATAAATGTACCACATTATTAAGAAACTGTTTAATAATAACGAATTTCTGGCATATACTAATAACTTAAACCAAAGTCAGCAATCTTAACACTTGAAAGATCATCACTATATTTTATTAAGATATTATCTAATTATATATACAAAAACGATACCTGGTTTAATATCTCGATGAATAATCTATTTAGAATGGAGATACTCTATTCCTCCAAATATTGATTTCATTATACAACTTATTGTTTCCTCATCTAAACTTTATTTCATGTAATCACTTAAAGAACCACCTCCAGCATATTCCATGACCAAATATTGATTATTTCCCTATTTTAAATACTATATTTAATCTTAACAATCTCAACCTTGTAAAATTTTATAATATTTTTATGTTTAAGACTTTCCATTATTGATGTTTCCTATAATTATGCCCCTTACATAGACTATTTATTTCACAATATTTTACTTTTATTGCTACTTCTTCTCCTTTATACAATCCCTTAAACACTTATCCAAAAGCTCCTTCACCGATTTTCTCAATTATTTTTAACTCCTTTTCCTTCAAAAAATCATGTTTCATATTAATTATTATAAATTAAATATATAGCAACCAAGAATCTAAAAATTATTAATGCATAATGTAAGTAAATAAATACTTATATAATCTCAATTTTTAATTGAAAATCAATATATATATGATATCATTTAAGTTTATAATCTATCTAAATAATTATGATCGTTCTGATAAATCTTTAAGGTAAAAAATTGAAATAAATTAACTATTAAAATCATAATCTGTATAAATATATTTTAACTAAAATTACGTAATGAACAATATGTAATTTAGTTTAGACACCTCTTTCCAATCCTCCTAGTTTTGTGATATTGAAATTAATGATAAGACGTGTGACTTATTATATTTTGAACCTATTCACATTGTCTCCTAACATAATAAATTTTACAACTTAAAAAAAGAAATAAAGCTCTCCCCATTCATCAATTATGATAACAATTCATCAATGTACTATTAAATACAAGTTTAAAAAATGAGAATTAAAAAGGCAATATAATCCAAGAGTTCTAAATACAAAAAGTTACCTGATTAAGATTGTAATTCGTATATCTAACCTTAATCAAAAACTATGAAAATTACATAAAGAAAATCTTCCTAACCACAAAGATTGCCTACTAAGTCCTTTTGTCATTTTATAAATGATAAAGACTATCAACAAAAATAGCAAACAAAAATAAAAATTCGATTACCTATTATTGAAAAACATTAAGTCGAAAGCCCATCTAAAAGCTCTTTAAATTGTTGGACTAGATATACCTCTTCCAGTTTATTTTAAGAAAATTGATGACTAAACTTTATGTATATAGAATAATCAAATTATATATTAATTGTTATAAGGATTCATATTTATCTAATAACGTTCTTATAATTGATTAAAATAATTGTTGATTTAATAAAAGGGAATGAATAATATTATTATTTTATATAATTTTCAAGAATTTTATTTTTTATGACTTAGAACATTTTAAAAAGAAAATTCTTTCAACACATAAATTTTTACTAGAATATTTATAGATATAGTAATTATTATCTTTTGAGAATATATGTTGTATTAAATTAGATATTATTAATAATCTTGTTCATTTTTAAAAGGATTTCTAATTAATCTCTTAGATCAAACAATATTTAAAATTATTATACTCATAACTATTTAAATAGTAGAAATCAATATAAAAAATGCTATTTCACTAGAATTAAATCTTCGAAATTATGTTGGTTTTACAATTTGTATACTTTCTAATTAAAGTGTTGTTTATTTTTTCTTTGAAAATACAAATAATCATTAAATAATAATTAAATGAATCGCATTCATCATTATTAAGGATTAGATAGTCGATAAAAATCTGGATAAGAAGCAACTGAGCCAGCATCCACAAATAATAGATTTACAAGAAGTTTAGGAAAGAGCAGATCATCCTTTAATAACAGCGTTTCTTAATCTATTACAAGCTCGATATAGAAAGGAAAATCTTATTATTTGAATCATTTAGAAGTATACTATAACATGCATTTAATTGAAATATTAGCAGGTTTGTTTTTAGTTAATTAAGGGTTTGTCTCCATTAGATGAGAAGATAGAATTACTAAAGAAATTTAAGGAATTGTTCTTATAGATGATCGATTAATTATAAGACCTACTATTCCTAATAAAATAAGTCGATTTTGAAGCTCCCAATTTTGAAGAACTATATTAGACTGATGCTGAATATTTCAGTGAGACTGTTTATAGAGACATAAAGGTATCACATAATCATATTTAATAGCATCTAGAATAACAACATTATGATTTAATTTACTCATCTAGTTTAAGATTTTTATCAAATGTTTTAGAATGTATATCATATAATTTCGAAATTGATATTTATGAATTTGATATTCGGAATTGGGCATAGTAAGGATTGGATCATATTCTGAAATTTAGTGGATTAAGAAGATCGTTTCGTTAACCTATTAGTTGCTGTTAAAGATATTGCAAATGCATATCAAATTTATTTAAAAATAATAGACAAAGAAGATGAATAATTCAGCAATTAATAAAAACAATCAATTAATTATTTGTTACTGAATATGATTAAATTTATGTAACTAACTATTCATCATTATTCCATTACATCTTTATATATGGTGTTTATAAACAATATTTCTTCACTTTATTTTTATATAATTCGATAATTAATTGATTAATCTTCAATAAGCTAATATAATTTCTTTTCCTTTTATATCTTTTTGTAAATTATTGTTTTCCTCTCTAAGCTGTTACTTAGAGAACTATTTGTATTTTATATTCAAGCTCACTTTATAATTAAGAATTAATAAATTGCTGTTGAGGGGATTGACTTAAATTTATACCTTTCATCTATTAAATAGGAGTACATTTGAATTCTTTATATACCCTTTCTGGCATTATTTTGATTATATACAGATCCACTCATATATTGTTTTAGTTAGAATGAAAATTCAAAATTAGGGCAAATGATTGTTCTTTTTCTTGTAACTTTTTGTTGTGCTTTTTAAAAATAATATTAAAATTTCTTTATTATAAATAGAGTTCCTTAAGTTTTTCTCTATTGTTTTTCTAAAATCTATTTGTAAATTATATATATTCTTTTAACTGTTAATGCTATAAAAATGGCAGGTGATCAACTTATTTCGATTGGGCAATGAGTTTATAATGAACCTTATTATAAAGCTGATTCAATAAATTCATTTGTTACATCATATATTAGAATATATTAATATCTGGTTTGTCTTTGACATAAATAATTTTATGATTGACTTCTATATCTTTAACATACATAGAATGAATGATCGATAACACATTTTATATTATTAACTTTTAGATTGTTTATGTCTAATGCAACTTAATAATCTCCTAACCAAATTGAATGATTGTTGATTTTAATGATTTCTGATTAAGATTGATAATGGCTCTAAAAGTCCAAAACTTTCAAATATTAATTCTATTTATTAATACAAAATGATTATATATATTTTAAGCTTTTTTAATAGAAATTAATAATAATTCATTAATATTTATTCAAATGATAACTCAAAATTAATGCATAGAAGATTATAGGATATAATTGAATTCATCAATAGGAAGAGGAAGTTATGGAGAAGTCTTTGATTGCAAGTCGATAAAATATCCTTAGCTTTCTTTATGTGCAAAGGTAAGAATTACTAATATTTAGATAATTAATGCATAAGTTTTAGAAAAGTATAAGAATATAGAAAAAATGATTTCACAACTTGTTTCTCAAAATAAATAAAATCAAAACTTAGTGACTATTTATGATGTAAAACACATGAATGAAGATAAAAAATTGATAATTATCATGGAGAAATGTGAATCCAATTTATAAAAAATCATTAATTTTTAAAAAAAATTTAATGATTTAGAAGTTTCTAATTTCATAGATTAATTTTTAAATGGATATCAGGTTCTTTATGATAATAACATTATACATAGAGATATCAAACCAGAAAATATATTAATTAAATAAAAGACTTATAAATTATCTGATTTTGGAACAGGCAAAATTTATAAAGCTAATGATTTTAAAATTACAAAAATTGGAACTCCTGTCTACACAGCTCCTGAAATAAATTCATTAGTTTAAGACACTGAACTTGATGACCGTTTTTAAAAAATTAAATTTAATCAACATTCTAAGAGTCAAGTGGATATTTTTTCTGTAATAATACTTTAATATAATTAGCTTGGTATAATTTTATATTAAATGGTATACGGTGAATTACCCTTTGAACAAAAATAAACCAGTATTATTGAGTTTGCAAAAAGAATAAAATAGAATCCTTTGTAATTAACAGGATAATCATAGCATAAGAAAATTATAGAATAAATGCTGATTTATTATCCTGATGAAAGAATGACCTTTTAATGTTTATATAATATTATCGCTGAAAAAAAAAATACCAAAATTTCATACCCAATATCATTTAAGTAAAAGGATAATTAAATTAAATAACCACAAGTTAGTGCAACAATGTCAAGCTTAAATTAAAATGGAGGAAACTAAAATGGATTAAATTAAATTATAATAAATTAAAATGGAGGAATTTAAAATATATCCAAAAAAAATGAAATCAATTAAACTGGAGGAAACTAAAATAGGGTAAATTAAAATATAATCAATTTAAATGGATTAAATTAAAATTTATTTAATTAGAATGGATTTAACTAAAATGGATTAAATTAAAATTTAATAAATTAGAATGGATTCAATTAAAATGGAGTAATTAAAAATGAATTGAATTAAAATGAAGCAAATTAAAATAGATTAAATTAATAGTTTTAACTTTAAAATAATTGTATGCCTAATATTAAAATTAAAAGTAATCAATTTTAAACACCTCCTTAAAAAGAGGACCTATCCCTTATTAGTCCACATTAAAAGATTAAAGAATATTTGCAATTTTTATTGTAATTATAAATAGCTTAAATTTAGGAATGATAATGGAGATATTATTAAGGATGATATTAAAAACTTAATTTAGTATTTAATCCAAAATTCAACATTTTCCATTGACTAATTAAAATAATTAATAACAATTTATAAAAATTAAATATAGAAACCAGATTTGTGCGAGAATAAGACTTTAATTTTTTTTTACTGTATACTATGTATACTAAACAACACTACTCCTTTAAATATTCAGAGTTTTGATGATAAGAAATTAAGAGAGGAAATAAAACGATTATACGATAATTTAAATTCTACTTGATAATAATAAATGTGAATTTTATAGATAATCAAATTTTTATTATAATTTTAATAGTTCTCAAAATTGTTAATTTAAGGATTATCAAACAATCTAAAAAGATATAATTTAATAGATATTAAATTCTTCCAAAGATTGCTTTCTAATATGTAAATATTTTAAAAATTAATTAAATTAGTAAATTATTAAGATTTTTTTGAAATGCCCTCAAATAATAAAAAAACTGAATTTATAGATATAAATTGTATTAAACAAATTTTGATTTCATAATTCACAAGTTTTTAACCTTTTTTAAAAATTTTCTTAATTTTTGTTAGAAAAAAAATTTTTGATTACAAAAAATGTATTTTCCCTAAAACTAAGTAATCATTTATTAAAATTATATAATTAGTTTGATGAAATACATTAAACGATTATTATAAATTATGTGCTTATGTTATATTTACTGTCTTTAGAGTTAAATCAAAAAATCTCAATAATTTACTAATTAGATTAATTGTTCAACAAATATCAAATATTCAAATAAATCATAAAAAATAGAAAATTCTCTCTGGAAATGAAAAAGACTAATTTTTAGATTAAATTAAAGTATTTGAGATCTAAAATGTATTTCTAATTTATATAAGGATGATTTCAAAAATATTATAATTGGTTTAAAGAATATGGATTTTGATTTTTAACTAATAATACAATGAAATAATTATTTATAAAGTAATCAATAGTTATTCTACATTAATTTTTAGCATTTTGAAGAAAGATTTAAACAGGATTTATTAAAACAAAATAAAAAAGATTATCATCATATATCAATTTTGATCAACTAATTGAATTTGTATATGCAAACATACTACTTAAATTGCCAATTTTAAGGATAATAAATTATCCCTATATTATTAGATAAAATTAAAGGATATTATTGATCAAAGTTTAAAATCTTTAAAAAGAATTGACATAAACAATATTATTATAATTTATACAGGATTTATAAAAACTAATATATTTTATTTATTTAATACACAATATATAATCTTAAATTGTACAAAAACTTGGATAATAATATAAATGAATCTTTTTATAAAAATATTAATATAATTTTAATGACGTGATTTATATACTGAAAACCTAGTAATAGGAAGTATTAAACTAATTCAATTATTAGGATAATTAATTTAAATTAAAATTAAAGAGAGATGTATGGAAATAAAAACAAAAACGCAGCACTGATATCGATTTATTGTTAGAGATACAAAATGAGATTAAACTCAACTCCACATGTTATTACTAATTAACTGTCCATAAATCATTTAAGTGGTTAGAGAGTGTAAACTGAGTAAAATCAAAGTCGAAGAATCAAAACAATTGGAAGTCAGAGATCCAAGTTATATTACAAGTCTGAAAGTAGGGAACCAATTAAATCTTCTAATAAATCTAAATAGTCATCTTCAGATTCAAGAAAACAATCAAATTATGATTCTCATGTCAATACATCAACTTCTGATAATGAAGACAAAGTTTTAATGATATCCAAAATCGTATTTTCAGTAAAGTCTCCACTTTAAAGTTTAAGGTTTTAAAGCTTTATTCTTGACAAAAAAGCTTAAAATATTGAAATTAACAGAAAGAAAACTCTCAGAAATTCATTATTATCAAATTCTTTTAAGAATTAAAATTTTTAAATGACTGGAAATGAATGTGGTTGGTCTAGAAAATCTTCAGAAAGTCTTATCTATCTATGATCAGACAAATATAAAAATTATTTGTATATAGTGAATATTTGTTTTATTCATTTTAAATAAAAATAACATAATAAATATTCTTAAATTCTAAAAATCAATATTATTATTCTAGAAGAATTGATTATTTTATTTTAGTAAAAACATCTTAAACAACTTCTAAAATAATAAATAATTTAATATTTATTTTACAATTATTTAAGTAGGATATACAAAATATTTATTTGAAATGTCTTAGTTTTAGTAAGAAATTTCTAAATGTTTCTGAAAAATATGTTTCTAATTTTAACGAGAAACAAAACAATAAAGTTTGTGTGTGAAGCAAGATCTTTATATAATGTTATACTTAATATAGTACATTTATTGATTATATTCTGATTTCGTTTACGTTTATTAAAATCTTAATAATTAGAATATCCATTAAAAATATCAAAAAAAATAGCATTTCAGGTATTTAATTTATTCTTTATATTTTTAGGCCAATTTTATAATATAATTTCTACTAATTACAGGTAAGGTTAAGGATTTTCTCAATCTCTTTCATAGATCGATATATATATGAGGAATTATAATAATATATTGGAGAATGAAATTAAAATATTAATTGATAAACTTAATAATATGTTTATTATTATTATTATTATCCAATATTTAACGTTTCTTTCTTGAGATTAATTTTCCTAATGCCCTTTTAGATTAGTATAAAGCATAATCTAATTGAACTACTTAATGATCATTTTTATACAACTATTAATCAAATTTCTAGTGTAGACTTTAGTATTTTCATATTTATCTATTTTAATAGTTACAAATTCAGAAACTATTGACACCCTAAAGTTCATTTAATTCAATTCAATTAAATTATTATAATTATAATTATAAATTAAAAAAACTCAATTGCTTTATTTAAAAATTAGATTTGATTTTCTTATTTCCTTCTTAATATAAGTATAATAGAGTTGTTAACTCTAATAAATTTTAATGATAAATTATAATAAATTTATCATTAAATTTTATATTAACAATTTGTAAGTATTTGATTGTTGAATTTTATGAAAAAAATTAATATTAAGATTTCAGAAAAATGTGATAAATAATGGTCAAGTTGATTATTATCAACGAACAATATATTATGTATTTTTTCTAATTGATTCTTCTGTCAAATGATTGAGAATATAAAAGTTCTTTAATTTACTTTTACATATCATCTTTAAGTTTTAAGTAATAAGATTCATATAATAAGATAAATTAATAACAAAGAAATTTTTATGCAATACATATTTTATAATTTGTTCTTCGAATGAATTTTAATAAAATTTTCTAAAATTATACATGATATAAATTATTTTGATTTTAAATAACTTACTAGAAACTTAAATCCAAAATTAATAATAAGAAATGATGTAATTTTGAAAACAAATTAATCATTTTAAGTATTAGACATTAAAAATCTGTGTATTAAAATTAATTTGAGAATGAGAAAACAATTTTAGTAAATCATTTTTTATAAGAAAAATAATATATCATTTATAGATTCTAATATATTCTTAAGAATAGATTATATACATATTAGAAAAATAATCAATTAAATGCTGGATGCTTTTGTTTTAAAATCAAAATTTAACCACACTCATTATCTTTTAGTCCTAAATAAGACATCTAATCTATATAATATTATCTTCCCTATTCTTATAAAAATTTCAACAAATATTTTAAATAAAATGTGAAGAAATTAATGGTATAAAATGTTTATTTAATGGTAAAAATTTGAATTGATAAATTATAAAGAGTATATGAATGATGAGAATAGTTAGAGCTTAAAAATGAAGGGCATGAAATTACCACACTTTTTTATCAATATTTAATTTTAGTTTATGTAATATTTAGTGCTTATCTTCTTAACAAGTATTTTAATCAATGAAGTCTTAGGAGATTGGATATTACAATACAATGGAATACATGAATTTAAAACAATTACATGTACTTCATTAGGTTGTTTATATGGATTTAAGAATTAAACAAGCACAGGACCAGCCTTATATTTAAATTGTTTAACAAGTCCACTCACTGCTTTAATTCTAGATAATAACTAATTAACTTCAATAGAAAATGCTGCATCTTTAACACCAACATAATCAAACGCTTATAAATTATTCATGTTTGATGTATACTATACAAGTCAATGGGTAGATGATGTCATAGATTTTGAGTTTAATAATTAAATTTTTGAAATTAGACATTCAACTTCAGATCCATTGCCTCAAACAAATGGTTTTTGTGATACAATTTAATATGAAGTTAGAACATATAACTTTACATTACCTTATAGTTCAAATAATTATTAATTTCCAAAATTTACAATATATAATCCATCAATTAGTGCAATGATTAGAAATGTGCATATGTCATTTCAAAATTGTTATCCTGGTTGTACTTAATGCACTGGTCCAAATAAAAACTAATGTACATTATGTTCTGGAAGTTTGGTTATAAATAATGGAGAATGTAGATGTCCAATAAGATCAAGTGTTATGTAAGCATATGGATGTGTAAATAAATGTTATTTAACAGGATCTAAATTAAAATCATAAAATAGAATTTGTTTAGATTTTGCACCAACAACACTTATATACTCTAATTTAGTTGGAATTAATTTAGAAACTTGGTATAATTGGAATATCATTTATGATCCTAAGCATTTAGATATAATTGATAAAAAACTCTCTCCATATAATTTTGGACTCTTTAGATATCGAGAAGGAGCCTATACATCTATTAGCACTATATATGCAATATACCCTTTAGTTACAATAGTTTAATTTGTATTTTGTAATGCAACTCCGATAAATACAGGAGTTCAATTTTATGTAAATTAAACATATATAGGATCTGTATATTTTGATGGAACTCAATATATATATGATAAAGTAGAATTGAGATCATAATAAGTGTATCCAATAACTGGATAATGTATAAATAATATGTTTATATCTGTTGAGATATTTACAACTATGATTGAATAAAAGTTAACATTTTCTTTATAAGGGAATTTTACGTAAAATTCAAGAATAATTTAGTTCATCAGGAGCTGGGTGGTTTGTAAGATTGGTTTAAATTACAACAGGTTATTGTCCATATACATGTCTGAAATGTGATATGTTTTATAGATGTATATAATGTCCATCAGGGTATGTAAAAATTTCAGATGGAACTTGTTAATACTGGGGTTGTCCATTAGAAACTACCTATAATGGTACTCATTGTGTCAAATATCATTAAGTTACAAAATGTAAATAAAAATATAAAATAAGATTCGAAATATTTAGTGAGAGAATTTTATGATTTTACTGTCACAGATACTCTAAATACAACTTTCATTTTGGAATCAACAGTACCAACAGATTTGTAAAAAGGTCTTTTTGTTTATTGGTCTTACACTGATACAAAAAGAATATTTGGGGGTAAATATGTTTGGGCATAATCCAGATTTTCTCAAATTTATACTTTAAATCCACATCATTCATTAACAATTTATTTTTAAGTAATTTTTGGTCCAAATTTTCCTACCTCTCCTACTAATTATTTTTCATATGAAATTAATAATGGTACTCAAAAATAAATAACTAAAACTTCAACATTAAGTATAGTGGAAAAAATCTTAACATATAATCCTACTTTAACAATTGCAATTTAATGTAATGGTATTAATATTATTGATTCATATTGTGGAATGTCAAATTATTATATTGTTGTTCATTATTGTAAACCATATTGTAATCGATGTACAAACGAATTCACTTGTGATGAATGGATGATATATGATCCTAATATTGTGAAAGCAGAATAATCATAATGTTTAAGTAATTAATTTGTAGATGAGACTACATCTACTTGTGAAGATTGTCCTTTTGAATGTCTTACTTGTTTTAATGAATATGAATGTTTAACATGTAAACCTAATTATTAATTGATTATTACAACTTGTATCTTAGGTTGTTAACTTAATTAATTCTATGATGGGATAAATTGTTTAGATTGTCATTATAGTTGTAAATAATGTTAATCAACAAATTATTGTATACATTGTGAATCGACATCTTTAAGATATTTAGAAAATGGATAATGTATTTGTTTTGATGGTTATTATGACTAGAATAATATCTAATTATGTTAACCATGTGATAAATTATGTAAATAATGCAATGGACCTACCAATTAAAATTGTTAAGCATGTATAGTATTAGATAATTTAATATTAAATGGAAATTCTTGTGAATGCATAATTGGATATTACTTTGATGAATATTAATTGAAGTGTTTATCATGTACAAATAAATGTGAAAAATGTTTTGATTAATCAGATTCATCTTGTTTATCTTGTTATTCAAATTAAAATAGAATTTTGAATGGATTTTAATGCAAATGTCAAAAAGGTTATTATGATATTAATTAAGATAATTGTATTTAATGTCCATCTTTAGAAAATGTCTTATTAACATCTTGTTATTAGATTTGTGGAAATGGTATTTCAATTTGGTTTAATTAGAGTTGTCCTACTGTTATATGTTCATCTGGATTTAATAATATAAATAATTAATGTCAATCTATATGTGGAGACTTATTAGTTGTAGATTAAGAATAGTGTGATGATGGAAATTAAATCTAGTTTGATGGCTGTCATAATTGTAGATATTAATGTCCTGCTTAATGTACTATTTGTGATAATACTACTGTATTTCCTTGTATAGATATTTGTGGTGATGGAATAGTAAGTGGATTAGAAGAGTGTGATGATTCAAATAGTATATAATTTGATGGATGTTATTAATGTAAAATTGAATGTTAACCTTAATGTACAAGATGTATCAAAGGTATATGTTCTGAATGTTTAACATTTGGTTGGATGTTTGATGCTTCTTCAAGTTTATGTATAGAAAAGTGTGGTGATAGATATTTAGTTGGTAATGAACCTTGTGATGATGGATATAATTTTGATTCTAATGATAGTTGTTTAGCTTGTAAAAGAGTATGCAGAGATGATTGTAAAACTTGTAGTGATGATGGAACTACATGTTTAGAATGTAAAACAATTGGATTTAGACCATAATATTACTATTGTATAAACATTTGTGGTGATGGATATTTAGCAGTAGATCCATATAATAGATATATAGAATAATGTGATGATTTTAATTTAGCTAATTTTGATGGTTGCAATGCAGCTTGTTAATTTTAATGTTAAACAATAGATATTTGTACAAACTGTATAAGTAATAAATGTTAAAGTTGTGTAAGTACATATTATTTAGATACATCAAAAAATAAATGTATTGAATTATGTTATGATAATATTATTGTTGGTAATGAAAAATGTGAAGATATGAATAGTTTAATGTTAGATGGATGTTATAATTGTTAATTATCATGTTAATAATCATGTTAGATATGTACAATTAAAGGTTGTACTTAATGTAAATCTGGCTATTTATTAACCAATTATTAATGTAAGAATATTTGTGGAGATGCTATTGTTGTCGATGGAGAAGATTGTGATGATGGTAATTTATATCCTTTTGATACTTGTCATTAATGTGTTTATTAATGTACACCTAATTGTTTATATTGTCATAAAGGAGAATGTCTATAATGTTAAAAAGATTATTTAAAAATAAAAGGAAGTTGTTGGAAATATGAAAAATTAGATTATTTAATAATATAAAAATAAGAGAAACTTAAATAAAATGAGGAAACATAAATAATATTTATTGAATTTTGTTCAAATTATAATCATATTTATTGCATGAAATGCCTAGATCCATATATCTATAATGCAATAATGTAATTATGTGAATTGAAATAAGAATATTAAATTTACTATTATGATGGTCCATTTGATTAAGATTATATATAACCTTTATTAGAATTTTGTTTAATTTAATATCATTAAACATGTTTAAAATGTTATAATAATTTTTAATTGAATTCATTTAATAATTTATGTGAACCAATATGTGGTGATTATTAATTAGATGGCTATGAATAATGTGAAGACAATAATTCATTATTTTTTGATGGTTGTTATAATTGTTAATATTAATGTCATAATTCTTGTAAAAATTGTCAATTTGGATAATGTTTTGAATGTGAATAAGATTTAATTTTATTAGATTAAAAATATTGTCAATCTAAGGCTATTTGTAATTAAATTGAAGGTTATTATCTAAATGAAGATACAAATACTTGTATTGAAAATTGTGGTGATGCTATAGTATCTAAAAATGAAGATTGTGATGATGGTAATGATATTTAATATGATGGTTGCTATTAATGTAAATATTAATGTGAAAATTATTGTACTGATTGTATTAAAGGAAAATGTATCATTAAACCTATTCCTTGTAGTATAGGTTTGTATTTTAATTTTGAAAATCTGTTATGTTAATCAATTTGTGGAGATGGTATTTAAATTAGTCCAATAGAAGAATGTGATGATGGTAATCAAAATGAAGAAGATGAATGTAATAATAATTGTAAATTACAATGTGATCATAAATGTGCTTAATGTGAAAAATTAAATAATTGTTTAATTTGTAAAGAAAATTATTAATTGATAAATAATAAATGTGATGATATTGAAAATTAAGATTATTAGATTAAAAATTGTGAAATATTAATTGATAATTAATGTATGTAATGTGAAAAAGGATTTACTTTAAAAAATAATAATTGTATTATTTATTGTGGTGATGGTATAAAAAATGGAAAAGAATTATGTGATGATGGTAACAATATAAATGGAGATGGATGTGATATTAATTGTAATCCATCATAAGATAGTTATTGTAAAGATTCAGAATGCACAATATTAATCTCTCCTACTGCTCATCTTGTTTTTTTAAATGAATTTTTTGGTTTATAATATGCAGAATTAGTTTATAATCAAGATATGAGATTAACTGAGGATTATTCTAAATAAGATTATTTTGATAATTTAGTATTCTTTATTGATAATCAAGATGAAAAAAAAGCAAAAATTTCATTAAATTCAGAATCTATAAGTTAATAGTTAAATTATGTTATTATTTAAATACAGATTGAATTTTTGGATTATGTGTAAGATCCTATCTTAAAGGTTAAGTTTAACAATAATTAGATTTTAGTAAATTAATATGGCTTATCTATATAATAAGAGATATTATCTACTAAATTACTATCTCCAAATGTTTTAAATTAAAGTTAATAAGAAAGTAATTAATCATTAATTTCAATGAGTTCATAATTATTGAAAATAATGGCAGTATTTATAGCATTATCTTCAATAACAGGATAATTATAAATTATTTCTAATTTAATAGATATTATTCAGTAATTATACTATTTGAAATATTTAAATTCAAGGATTGGTATTAATCTTGCTCAATTTTATTAAACTTTCAAAATGATTTAATTAACTAATATTTTTGATTAATTCAACATAAGTCCAAATTCAAATTTTAAAAGCATTTTGACATATTATAATTCTGAACCAATATTTGAATTTGATGATAGAAATGCTAATTTTTTAAATAATATATCTTAATTAAGCATAGTTTATATAATTTTAGGAGTGACATTAATAATATTGAAATTGGGTTCTTAATAAATGATGAAAAAATTATCATAATTAAATTCTATTCATTTAAAATAAACATAGTTATAGATTGTAAAGTTCATATAAAAAAATTGTATAAAAATAAGAAAAATGAAATATTGGCCTTAAATTAGAAGTTTATTTTTAGCAATAATTTATGAATTTGGAATAAATATATTTCTTGCAATAAAATATTCAAAAAGAGATAGTGAAGGTTATAGTGGTGTTGGTATAGCCATATCAATACTATTTGTAAGTATCTTAATATTACTATAATAATTAAAATAAAATAATGGTATAATAAAAAGATTATAAAAAATAAACAAAGAGGATAATATATTTACATATATGTGTATATAAAGATTATTGTTTGTGATGTTTTTAGTATTCTTTTTTTAATCAGGGTAGATTTAAATTTTATTATGTATTTTAAATGAATTTTAGTATTGTTACTTTTTATATAGTTACAAAATAATTAAATAACCTACAGAGAATTTAAAATAACTATCTTCACATATTATTTAATTCATAATTTGTTGTTTATATCTAATTAATAATTTTTATTAAAATGATCCATAAACTTTAATTATGATTGGTTGGAGTATTATAAGTTTGATGAGCACTGTTTTAATAATTACAATAATTACAGATTTTATTGATTTAATTTATCCTTTTTTAAAAAAGATTTTAAAGAAATAGACAATTGAAAATAATGGGATTAGTTAAATATTTTGTGTAGTTGAAAATCAAGTAAATGTACTCAATAGATAATAATTTTGAAGATTTGATTTAATTCATTAGTTATTGTAATAAATTTTAAGTTTTAAATATAATTTATAATTATTGTTTTGTATTTAATTATATGATAAGCGAACAAATTTAATCAATTACATCAATAGTTCATAATGGTACCAAATTGATATTATAAAGAGTTCTATATAAAAAGTGGTAATGGACCATGGATACAAAGAAATATTTTTGAGAATGTTGAATATGATGAATATGAGAATAAACAAATAGAGATATTATAATAGAAAATAGGAGAGAAAGGATTAAAGATTAATTTAAAGAGAAGTACATTATTGAAGATGTTGATGGCAGCTTAATATGATGTAGAAAGAGCAATAATAGTATTGTAATAAAAATATTAGATAATTAGAATTGTTAATTACACTTAAAGTTTCTTAAAGAATATAAAAAGAGTGATTATTAGAAGGATTTGGTTAAAGGCTATTTATATGTATGTGGATTTGATAACTAATACAGACCAGTTATAATATTTAGATAATATTGTGATATCAAAATAATTACTTATTTTTTAGAAACAGTTAGGAGATCACTTTTAATAGATTATTATGTTGAAAATTGGACAGTCATAATAGATTTAGAATTAGATTTACCAGTATTAGAATTAGAAGATCTATTATATTTATAGCTATAATTTTATGGGAATTTGAATAAAATGTTAATAATAAATGGTCCAGATGACATTTAAGTAATATTGAAATAATTTACTGGTTATTATATTTAAATTTATGATTAGATAAATTTCCAGATCTTAGTGTTAAATTATAAGTGATAACTGAATATTCCTAATTATTATAGTATATTCCAAAAGATTAATTAGAGATTAAATATGGTGGAGATTAATCAAATTTAATATAATTTTGGTATTACATTTAAAAATATTATAGGCCATTGTAGAAAAGAGAAGGTGTTTCTGGATTATTAAATGGGAATAATAATAAAACTTCACATCTCTCTATAGCTTCATTAAATAGTAGTTCTGTAAATAAGAAGTCTAGTTTTATGAAAATTACTGTTTTAGAAGAGAATGGAAATCCCCTATTAAATTAATAGATGGCAGTATTTGAGGATAAAGTATTATAGTCATCTGAATCTTCTATTTAAGATTAAGCTCCTCTATAAGATTATGAGGAGAAGTATAAATCTTATTTAAGTACATCAACAAAAAAGAATTTTATGGATAAAGTATAATTGATGGATATGGATGATTAAAATGGTGAAGAATAATAATCTAAAGAAAGTTAAAATGAAAATAAAAAGAAAAAGAAACATAAAATGGATGAAAAATAAATATAAAATAGAAGAATAAATATGGAAGGAGAAAAAGAATCAATAGTTGCTAATCCATCCTGTTGTTCAAAGAATTGTTCCATTTTTTGATTACTACATTTATATAAATAATAATACATCTATTAATTAAATTATCAATAATGAATTATATGAGAGATAATTATGTAAATGCAAAAAATGATGTACCCATTTTGATAGATTATGGAGCATCTACAATTAAAGCAGTAATAACATTCTTTTTTATAAAAGGGATATGCTACATCATAAACTCCAGATGTAGTAATTAGAAGCTATATTAATAAATTTAAGGATTCTAATACATAATCTAATCAAATAGCTTAATGGGATACAGATGTATTTAAAAATTATAGATCACCTTTTGAAAAGAATCTAATTTAACATTCTGGTGCATTAGAATAATTAAATGATTTTGTGTTTGAAAGACTATAAGCTGGAAGACATGGTAGAGTGAATCATCCAATGATATTAACAGAATGTTTTGCTACTACTGATTTAGCAAGAATGATAGTCTTAGAATAAATGTTTGAATGTTATCAAGTACCAAGTGTAATGTTAGGAGTAGATGCATTATTCTCAGTATTTTAAGATGATTTAGATACTTATTTAAAATAAACATAATTAATTGTACATCTTGGTGATTAAACTGTTCATGTAATACCAATAATTAATGGATAAATAATATATTCTAATATTAAACGATTAAATTTAGGTGGTTTAAATACTTTAAAATATTTTTATTAAACTATATAATTGAGACATCCACATCTCAAATTCACTTATCCATAAATAGATTATTGGCATAAATAATATACTAGTGTTGCTATTGATTATCAACTCTAATTACGTTATTTTTAAGGACCATAATTCTATTTTGGATATAGAGATAAAATAACAGAATAAAATAGATAATATTAAGATGATTAGTTATAATTATTGGATCCTATATATATAGATATTCCAATTGTATAGAAAATTGTGAGTGCAGAAGACTTAAAAAGAAAAGATGAAAATAGATAAAGAATGAGAGTTAGATTACAAGAATCAATTTAATAAAGTAGATAAAATAAAAAGTCACAATTAGAATAATAACTATAAACATTACAATAAGAATTAGAAATAGACTAAAATAATGATGAACTCAAAAAGAAAATTACAACTCTATAAGTTAAATTAGGTTTAGTACCTAAAGAAGCTTTAGAAGAATTAAAATATAATTTATTAAATGTACCTGATGATACATTGACACCTTCTTAATTAAATTAAAAAAGATATTAAAAAGTTATGTATGAATAAGCATTAATGAAAAAATAAAAAAATTAAGAATTTAAATAATTACAAAATGATGCAAATAAATTTAAATTAGAAGAACCGGAAAAATATTTATAAATGCTCTATGAAAAAAGAGATCGTATAGTTCTATAAATATAAGAAAGAAAAAAATTATAATAAGAAATGAATAGTAGGAATTCAAGATTCAATTAAAAGAGAATATAAACTTTGGCTTATTTAGGGGCTGATGATAAAGTTGAGGATGATTTTGGAAAAGATGATAAGGATTGGGAAATATATAGAAGTGTTACCAAAGAAATAGATTCTGCTGATGAAAAGTCTAAATACAAACTATAAGAAATTGAATAAGAATTAAAAGATCTGGATCCTGATTTTGAAATTAAAATACTTAAATCTATTGCTAATATCCATCAATTAGGTATGAATCTTAGTCAAGTTTAATTAACTGTTGATAGAGTTAGATGTTAAGAAATCTATTTTTAACCAAACTTAATTGGAGTTGAACAATAAGGTTTAGTAGATATGATCAAATTATCATCTAAAGGTTTGGATAAACTCTTATTATAAAACATCAATTTAACTGGAGGTGGAGCTAAAACATAAGGAATAATGTAAAGATTATAAAAAGATCTTACATCAGAATATGATTGTCCTATTGCTATTAAAATAGCTACTGATCCTATTTTTGGAACATGGATGGGAATGAAGAATTTTGCAAATAAATATTAAAATATGCTGTCCTAATTTTCAATATCAATTGATGATTATAATGAAATTGGTACTTAAAAATGGGAAATATTTAAATAACATCCATTTTCAAATATTGTAGATTGATGAATTTATTGTGTTATTATTAATATATTAGTATATATTTATTATTCTTATGTTTATAAATTATTAATATTATTTATTTATTTTGAACTAATATTTTAGTAAGTAGTTTTAATAGAAATAATTATGTTTAAATATTCATAAAAAAATCAATATATTGATGTATTCACCTAAATATCCAGTTGATTAAAGTATAGTTAATATTGGCAGCAATCCTATGAAAACAAGGAGAGCATAATCTGAATTTTAACCTTCTAATTTTTAAAATTAAGGGAATAAATAAAAAACTAAAAACTTAGTAGAATTATTGAAAGATGATTTAAATATTTAATATGTAGAGTATCCAGAAGAGTTATTTTAAGTACCTGAAAATAGTATAGTTTTGGTTCCTATTTAAATAATGAGAGATATATTAAAGAGTTATCAATATAATAATGAAGAGTTATAAAGAATGGGAAATAAAGTAAAAGAATATGAATAGAAAAGATTATTACTAAAATTCAAGTCTGGATTGAATTATATAAATTAATGAATATATAGAATTAATAACGTTAAAATAATAATGATGATTGTGATTGTTGTGATTTGAATGATTGTTGTAATGGATGTTGTTGTGAAGATTGTTGTAAGGATTGTGAATGTTAAGAATGTGGATGTGATTGTATTAATACAATTCAAACAAATTGTTGTGATAATTGGCAATGTTGTTAATGTATGTAATGTTGCACAGCAGGAGATATTCTTACAGAATTAAATTTTAATCGTCATATTGAATTAGAAGATGAGAATGAAACTTTCTTAGCTTAGTTTAAGGAATTGATAAGCAATTATAGAATTTATAAAAGATATCAACATCCATTATTAGAGGAATCATTCTTATTAAAGAAAAAGAAGAGTTCAACAATACAATTTTATGATAAAATAATTTTAAAGACTTATTGGTTCACAAATTAAAATGATTATTCAAAATCTTTAAGTATATGGCATTAGAATATATTCAAATATACAGAAATGTAAATATATGGTGCTAGAATTTAAGATATATGTATAGATAGATGGAGAATAGCAGTATTATTACCTAAATTACATCATATTCAAAAGAAACATAAATTTCAGGTTTATACTTTTCTTTCTTAAATTTCATCTTAAATCTTAAATTATTCAGAAGAAAAATCAATATTTAATGAATTACTAATTTATTATGAAAGTAGTTATGTACTTTTACCATCAAATTTATTAAAATAATCAGTTTATGAACAATATAGAGCTAATCATAAATTAAAACATCCTCCTGAATGGGAAGATGAAAATGAGTAAATATTTGATTGGAATAAAAGTGATTGCTTTTTATTAGGATTATTTGTATTAAGTTAATTAGTAAATTCATCATTAGATGATATATATGAAGATTCCAAATTTAATAAAAATAAACTCAACTTTTACTTATAAAAAATAAATAGTTAAGAATTCTATAATGTTTTAATATATATGTTATAGACTGAACCAGATGAAAGATATTCATTATAATAGATAATCTAATTAATGAAACATAAACCAATAACACCCATAACTTAAGATAATAATAAAAGTTAAGCACCTTTATAATCAACTTAAAAATAATAACCAATTAGTGTTGTTAGTAGAGTATAAAACTAGAATTTAAATACTGGAGGTCTATATACAGGAGATTAGATTGATAATAAAAAACATGGTCATGGTAAATTACTTAATCCTGATGGATCTGGATATGAAGGAGAATGGTTTTAAGATTAAATGCATGGAAAAGGTGAATTATTTTTATCAGATGGAAGGATACTTTATAAAGGATAGTTTTAAAATGGGAAATATCATAATTTTGGACATTTAATCAATCCAAATCCTAATATTACTTAAAATTATAATTTTAGAGATCTCAGAAATATTGGGAATTATTGGTCAAAATATGAAGGAGATTTTAAATTAGATAAAAAACATGGATATGGGATATTGTATTTCTCTAGTGGAGAGAAGTGGGCAGGAGAGTTTATTGATGATATACCAAGCGGATTTGGAACATTTTTTGGTTTATCTGGTGAAGTAACAGGAAAATGGGTTAAAGGCATTTTATTTGATTGAGTTAGTGATGTTTATTTTTTTACAGGATTTTTAGATCTTAAAAGATCAATAAAATAATACATTATTTATTATATTATGGAACATAGATAACTATTAGAAACACTAGTCGTTGATTTATTAAATAGTCCAATCAACCCATTAATTTAAGTACACTATTAAATTATGTTTAGTATCGAGACTTTCAAATTTAACACATCTGTAAATAAATTGGAGTTAATGAGTATGGTGGTTAAAGAGATGCAATCTTTTTTAAGCATTTTGCTTCTCATTTTATTTCATATTTAAATGAAAAAAATGAGCTTTCACCTATCATATCATAAGCTTAAATTACTAGAAATTAAACAAAACCATAGGAACTATAATCAAATAAACAAATAGCATTACCATCAAATCCTGACATAATCAAAAGTCCTGTTTGTTCAAAACCAAAAAATGATGTTGTTTAAATCATTGATGATGATATTTTGAACTCAAATAAATCAAAAATTGATTTGGAGGTATTCCTCTCTAAATCCATAATACCTGTGCCAAATATTATTGGGGTTAATTTAGACATAAATAATAATCAATTTAATAAATCAAATGATAACATAAAACATATATCTACTAAAACAGCATCAAATAAATTGGAAATTAAACCTAAAGAATCTAAACTCATTCCTGATCTCCTTCATAAAAATAAAATTAATAAAACTCCTCAAAAAAATGAAATTCATAATAAAACATTTGCATTTCTTGAACCTATAGAATTTAAAGAAACTTAATTAAATAGATCTCTTTAATCTAAAATAGAACTCTAAAATAATAATAAAAAGAAAAGATTATCCCCTTAATTGGATATAATTAAAAAAAAAGATAGTAAACCATCAACTTTTAAGCCAGATTCTTTATCTGAATCATTTGAAATTAGAACCTCAGATGATTTATCATTTAGAGAAGATAGCATAAAAAGAAAGGAGAATATTAAAGTAATTAGTAAATAAGAAAAGAAACCAATTAAAGAATTAGAAATTGTAAATAAAAAAGAGAAATTATAAAAAATTGAAAAAAAAAAACATTCAGATTCAGATATAAAATAGAAGATTGAAAAATTGACTCAACAGATTATTCCAATTATAGAATAAAAGGATAAGAAAAAAAAAGAAAAAGTTGATAATAATAATAATAAATAGAAGAATAATAATAAAAAAGAATAAGATAAATAATAATAATAAAAAGAAAAGAATTAATTATTAGAAAGATTTGAGAGAGAAAAATATGATAAAGATAAATTAGAAAAAGAAAAATAAGATAAATTTGAAAAAGAAAAAGAAAAAGCAGAAAGATTAGAAAAAGAAAGATAAGAAAGAATTGAATATTTAGAAAAACAAAAGTAAGAAAGAGAAAGATAGGATAAATTAGAAAAAGAAAGATAAGAAAGATTAGAAAGAAGTGATAAACATAGATAAAAAGAAACTTAAGAATTAGAATTAATTATTGAAAAACTATTATGTACTAATTCAAATGAAACATCCAAAATTAAAAAGAATTCAGATTAGATAATTATTATTGATAATAATGAAAAAACAATTAAAAAATTAGAAAAAGAGTAATCCAAATTTGAAAAACCTTTATGCAATTATTGTTAATACACAGATACCAAAACCATTGAAATTTAAGATGGAGTAAGAATATGTACATAATGTTTGCTAGTATCAATTAATCCATTCTAAAAAATCATAACAAAATTAGCCTTTACTGAATACAGATGTTCTGGAAAAGAAAATGCTAAAACTATTCAAAATTTCACTATTGATAATACTTCATATGATTGCAATCTTGAAATCAGATGTGTCTCATTAAATAAATAAGGATTATATGATCTAACCTTTCCTATGTCATGTACACTTTTAATTAATGGCATTACTATAAAAGAGATTAGACCATTATAAGAAAAGTCAAGTTTAAAAAAAAGGAGGGATTCCTCAATTTACATTAATCTAAAAGATCTATTAAAATAAAATAATTTTAATAAAAAATTTGCATTCTCAATTATAGAACATATACCTGATTAGACATATCGTAAAGAAACAATAGGTGCAATCTATTGTTTTGGTTTGTTTTTAGTTGAACCATTGAATGTGATTAAAACAATTGAATAATTTAAATAACGTGATATTTAACCAAAAATCAAAGCAGATTAAAGTAAAAAAGAAATATAAGTTGCTAAAACAATTATAAGTCTTTATTGTTAATTTACATTAGAATTAATTTAGATACCAGCAAAGTAAATAATAATAATTAATTTTCTTAGGGGTGAATTTTGTTAACATGAATAATGTTTTTGTTTGCGTAGTTATCTAGAAATGATGATTAAAGTAGAACATAAAAAATGGATTTGTCCAATATGTAAAAAAGTATGTTTCCATTTAATAATTGATAAATATCAGTTATTTATTATTGATAGAATCAAACAATTAGAAATATCTGTTGATCAGATAGTTTTAGATCATAATGTATTATATTGAAATTAAATTAGGGTTAAATGGATAAAGATGAATAAATTAATATAATATTGTAAGATCAATCAATTAAATCATATTAAGATATAATTGATAGAGGATACCAAAATATTAATAAAATCACCAAAAATGAAGATGAAGATGATTTACCAATTGTAAATAATGAAGGAAAGACTTAAAATTTTGCTATAATTTTAATTGATGATTGAAAATTGATTTCTTTTAAATTTATACCAAATATAAATTGCTAATAATAATTTAATGTTTAAAATGTCATAATAATACATCATTTTCTTTATCCTTTTCTTCAATAATTGATTTTTGATTCTCTTAATTATAATATGATGACTAATTAACTTTATTTAATTCAATTTTTTAACTATCATTATTATTTTTATCATTATTGTTTGTATTAGTATTATTTAAATTAGAATTTTTTACAAATTCATAATAAGGATCAACTTCATGTTCTATTTTAATTTTACCTAAATCTTTTTATTAATCTAGAAATGTAGTAATTTCTGTAAATTTCAATTTAGTTTCTCTTAATTCATTATACTCAAGAGTATCTACTTTAGAATCTTTGAAGATAAATTAAATAGTGTAGTACTCAACCGATTTATGACCTTTTTTAGTTATTCTTATATCATCCAATTATTCCAAATCCTTAATTATTGTTATTTTACGGCAAAAAAGAAATGGATTCATTCTTTCGATTAATAAGATTTGATGAGTTTTGTGTATTTCATATTTCATTCTATCAACAGTAGTTAAAAATACAATTCCCAAACTAAAATGAAGATTTAAGAAATAGAATACATTGTCATTCCAATAATAATCAAAAATCTCCACCATAAAGTTAAATCTCCTTTATCATACTTAAGTAATATGTATAACAATGATATTCCTGAAGATACAAATACCATTCCTAAAAACCATGCTCCTTTTGGATATTAACAAATGCTATAAATATTCTTTTTCTTCAATTAAGATTAGAATTTTTATTGATGATCCAATAAGTATTAATGTGGCAACTTACCTTTTTAATCAAACTTTCTTTTTGCATATAAGGCCATAACTCCAGCTTTTCCTAGAAACATTTTTATTATAAATTTGATAAATATTAATAATGGATTATCATTTTTGAAGCTTCCCCATATTCCATTTTCCTTATATAGATTGTCCATTTTTATATGAGTAAGTACCAAAGCCATGTATTTGACCATCTTTAAATGCCCCAATATATTTATCACCATTACTAAAAGAGAGAGTTCCAAAACCATCTCTATTATCTCTTTTAAAAGCTCCTTCATATTTAATCCAACATGTAATATTGGTTAGATTATTATGATCTAATCCAGATATCATTGGTATTTAATCTTAATTATATTCTACTCCTTGACCATGATATTGATCATCTGTCCAATTACCATCATAGATTACTTTGCCTTGAGCATTATATAATACTCCTTTTCCACTCATTTTGTTATCCTTCCACATTCCATCATAATAACTTCCATCATTGTGAATAAATTTCCCTTTTCCATGTCTTAAACCATTCCTCTTCATTCCTTAATATCTTGATCCATTGGGATATCTTTCTTTTACATTTTCAACTATAATAATTGATCAAAAGAGAATACCTAAATCTTTTTATTTAGTTGGTTCATTTCCTATTAAACCTAATACATCATATTAATCAAAAGTATTTGGTTCTCCTAAAAGTTCTTATCCACCACCTCCAATTAATTAAGATACATCTTATTATTAATACTATTATTCAATTTACTATTCTTGAGGTTAATCTAAGATTATTTATACAGGACTAATAGATTGTTTACATTTTGGATTTTTATCTAATCTTTCAAATAATTATTAGGCATTTGGTCTTTATGATACTTTAACAGTTAACATATCTTTAATAATATAAAAGAAGAAATCATGACATGAAATTTTAATGGTTTACAAATGAGATGAAATCTTATCTTCAAATATTACTCCTTAATCATAATCATAACATAAAGATGATTATTTTCCACTACAAAGTTATAGAAATACCATTCCTAAAGAATAGATATCTGATTTAAACCAATCAACATTTGGTTCTTTATTTCCTTTATCTAATTCACTTACTAATTCAGGAGAAAGATAAGCTATTTTTGAATATTTCTATTTGTCACTATATAATTTTTGATAATCATTTTTATGATCAAATAAATGAGGATCAGCAATTTTGTATTTATCTTGTGTAATAAAAATATTTCTCATTCTCAAAGCTTAATGCATAATCCCATTTTAATGCAAATAATTCAAACCATTTATACATTAATAAATTATTGGATAGAATTCATCTTATTAATAAGGGATTTTATTTTCTATTCTATATTGGAATTCTGAAGCAAAATCTGTTAGAATATAATCAAAAATTAAAAATGATTTATAAATTGATGTACAGAATCCTTCCTCTTATCTTGACATATATTCATTCAATTATACAATGTTATCATTTTATAATAATTTACGTTAGAGGAATTATTAATTCTACTCTTCAAAATCTGATTGATATAAAAACTCTTAAACTTTTAATATTGCAAGTATTTTTGTTTGTTTATTCTCTAAAAGAATGACATCTCCATACCATTCATCCAAATAATGAGTCTTATGTTCATAATTTTGTAATTTTTATTGAATGTCAGGAGTTGATTTATCAAGAATCAAACAAGGATTAGTATTACATTACAAACATTATCCAAATCCTTGACATGAACATATAGCACAACAACTTTTAAATTCATCTCTCATTGATGTACAACAGGGTCTCATACAAACATAACATTATTCACAACCTTCACAACAATATTATGCACAATCAGACAATCCCTTCCAACCTTAGGTAATATGATGATTTATAATTACAATGTTCACAAGTATTCCCCATACTGTTATAATTTAAATATATATATATATATTTTTTTATAAATAAAATTATCATCCAATGCACAGAAAATTAACTAGTTTATTATCATAAATAAGCTGTAAAAAAATTTAGATAATGTGTCTAAATTCTAATACAAGTATGGATATTACTTAACTTACTAATATACTAATAAAATAATCATTATTATTCTAAATTAATTCATCAACTATATAATAAACATAAAATTAATAATCTATTATTTGAGAAGACTTAGTGAAAAAATCTGAAAGAGAATTATAATTGGAAAATTAGGAAATATATATTTCGATTAACTGAATAATATATATCATTTCAACAATAAGTAAAATAAAGCTGAATGGATTCAATAAGATGATAAATAAAATGATCTAACTAAAATTATAATTCTATATTAAGCATGTAATTATTTAGAGCTTAGAATAAATGCTCTTAAACTAGAATTTGATGATATTTACTTAAAAAGTGATGGAATCTACTCAGAAATAAATTAAGGAATTCATTCAACTAGTAATTTCTTAATATTTATCATTTAAAGACTTTTCAGAAAAACGTATATGATGTTTAAATAATGAATATCCTTATAATTGATAGAAATTCTCAAAGAGTAGATGAATTCATTAAATATAATTTTAAATATGTCTTTATGTGTCAAAATAAAAGTTTGTGGATATTATTTACATAAATAAGGATTCTTTATTCAAGTAATAATGAACAAGTCTTAATTAATAAAGGATCTTTTAGTGAAGTATTACGATTCTAAAAGCATATACAAAAAAACGATTATAATCTCTTATGTAAGAATACTAATAATATTTCCAAGTATACAAATCAATGTGTTCTTTATCCAATCTTTAACCAGAATCAAAAATTATTAGGTATCTTAGAAATAAGTATTACTGTAAGTGAGAGAATAATTGATAAAAATTTAAAAATAAAAACGACATTATTGTCAGGAACACTTAAATTTGATTTCATGGTTTAAAATGCCTTTGATGATTTTCTATTAAGTAAAGCCCAATATGAATTATATAAATATAGAAGATATTGTATGGAGTCAATCTTAACTATTTCAATGATAGCCTCTTATTTTGTTAAGCACAATTCATTTATTACTTATAAATCAATTAGTACTAATTGGGATTGTATGACTCATAAAATGCAATTACTTAAGGAAGAGTTTTAGTCAACCAATTATTTTAAGTAAAAAAGTTATTGAAAAATTAGTTTATGATCGCTAAAAGGTATATACGCTTAACAAATTACTGAATTAATAGTTATGAACATGAGAAAATCAATAGAGTTTGATGAAACAATAGATTTGGATCCTATCTTGCCTGTTCTAATATAACCTAATATTTATGATAATTAAGTTAAAGCTTTATTTGAAGTTCTAGTGTAATAACGAAATCTTCGAAAATACGAATAAGATAAAATATGCTTGGCAGTTCGACTATTGTTGGATTGGATTTATGTTTTGAGATGATGGCAGCTAAATTTGGAACCACCATTATGAATTCAATCAATATATTAAAGCTGTAATGATTTTTAAATATATCTAATCATTATTATTCTTCATTTAAACAATATTCTAAGGATTGATCATTTAGTATCAACTAATGTATCCTTTTTATTAAAGTATAATAATAGTATTGGCTTCAAAACTAAGTTTATAGAATAAATATGTACAATAAAATAATTTAAAAAAATTCATTATTAATCTGTTTGGTTAGTGTTTGGAATAGTCCATGCTCGTATTTCGAAATTTTAGTTCATTAATTTCTCTTTGATTAAATCTCTGGTTTTAAGTTTTTACTTNTATTTACTTAAAAAGTGATGGAATCTACTCAGAAATAAATTAAGGAATTCATTCAACTAGTAATTTCTTAATATTTATCATTTAAAGACTTTTCAGAAAAACGTATATGATGTTTAAATAATGAATATCCTTATAATTGATAGAAATTCTCAAAGAGTAGATGAATTCATTAAATATAATTTTAAATATGTCTTTATGTGTCAAAATAAAAGTTTGTGGATATTATTTACATAAATAAGGATTCTTTATTCAAGTAATAATGAACAAGTCTTAATTAATAAAGGATCTTTTAGTGAAGTATTACGATTCTAAAAGCATATACAAAAAAACGATTATAATCTCTTATGTAAGAATACTAATAATATTTCCAAGTATACAAATCAATGTGTTCTTTATCCAATCTTTAACCAGAATCAAAAATTATTAGGTATCTTAGAAATAAGTATTACTGTAAGTGAGAGAATAATTGATAAAAATTTAAAAATAAAAACGACATTATTGTCAGGAACACTTAAATTTGATTTCATGGTTTAAAATGCCTTTGATGATTTTCTATTAAGTAAAGCCCAATATGAATTATATAAATATAGAAGATATTGTATGGAGTCAATCTTAACTATTTCAATGATAGCCTCTTATTTTGTTAAGCACAATTCATTTATTACTTATAAATCAATTAGTACTAATTGGGATTGTATGACTCATAAAATGCAATTACTTAAGGAAGAGTTTTAGTCAACCAATTATTTTAAGTAAAAAAGTTATTGAAAAATTAGTTTATGATCGCTAAAAGGTATATACGCTTAACAAATTACTGAATTAATAGTTATGAACATGAGAAAATCAATAGAGTTTGATGAAACAATAGATTTGGATCCTATCTTGCCTGTTCTAATATAACCTAATATTTATGATAATTAAGTTAAAGCTTTATTTGAAGTTCTAGTGTAATAACGAAATCTTCGAAAATACGAATAAGATAAAATATGCTTGGCAGTTCGACTATTGTTGGATTGGATTTATGTTTTGAGATGATGGCAGCTAAATTTGGAACCACCATTATGAATTCAATCAATATATTAAAGCTGTAATGATTTTTAAATATATCTAATCATTATTATTCTTCATTTAAACAATATTCTAAGGATTGATCATTTAGTATCAACTAATGTATCCTTTTTATTAAAGTATAATAATAGTATTGGCTTCAAAACTAAGTTTATAGAATAAATATGTACAATAAAATAATTTAAAAAAATTCATTATTAATCTGTTTGGTTAGTGTTTGGAATAGTCCATGCTCGTATTTCGAAATTTTAGTTCATTAATTTCTCTTTGATTAAATCTCTGGTTTTAAGTTTTTACTTTTCTTTTAATGGAGATCTAAAGCGATTGTTTTTTAAAGGTAATAAAGAATATCTTCTTTTTGTTTCTTTTAATCTTGAATAGCGACTTAATGTTTATGAGTTTCCAATACAGTTTCGAATAGAAGATCTAATAGATAGTAGATTTGAAGTTATTTCTATATCATCATTCTTTCTAATATCCTAAATTTAGAATTTGTTTTTCCTAATAGATTAATGCATTTGATTTTTTATTGAGGCGATCAATACATTAAGTCCATCTTCATAACAATTAATCTTGAACATTATTATAATTTATGAGAAACTGAATTAATTGTATTTAAAGATTAAATCAAACAATTTATGGAATATGTTATTAGTATAATTTTAATATTTAATGTGGAATCAATTTGTAATATATTTGAATATTGAAAATTCTGATTTTCTTATTTTAATTTAAATAAATTTGTGTTTTTTTATTGGCGAAACAACATATATTCTCTAATATTATTTTTTACAATAAATTATAAATTATATTTTGATATTTCATAATGTATGTCTATGAATTTTAAAGAAAAGCAAGAGAATATCTCCTTGGCTAAAAATTATCTTTGAAATCAATTACACAAAAATATAACAAAGACAAATTAGAGTAATAAAAATCGTTCAAGCAAATATCATCTATACTAAATTCTAAAACCGAATCATCTGTCATAATTACAGATTCTTTGATAACTGCGACAAGAAATTAGAAGAAAGAAAAGGCTTTTTTAATCAGAAAATCACCTGATAATTATAAAAATTAAATAGAGAAAAAGAAATATAACTCAATCTATGCAAAATAAATAACACCTGTGAGATAAATGAGCATAGCTGAATACGTTTATCCTGAACCTATCAGACATGTTCGGCATAAACAAATCACTTAATCTTCAGCTTTCAAAAATTTTGTTGCATAAAAGCATATTAAAACTGAAGATTCTCCTCATAAGTAATTTATCACAGCAAGAATTAAGAAACCTTTTTAAAGATATGTTAGTGAAACGAGTAAACAACCTTAACTTATAGCAAATCAAAATTTATAAATAGAGCAACTACGAAAATTAAGTGGATGGAGTATAAATAGTAATGAAAGCAAATTTTGATTTATTTTTTCCTTTTCATAAAGCTATTCTCAAACAAGACTGATATAAAAAGGTTATTAATTAATATTGATTTCTAAAATATGTATAATATCATATTCAGAATGTACTAATAATTCTTAATTTTTCATAAATGCACATCTGCTCCCTCAATGAAATGAGTCTCAGTTGTTATCATTATGACATAATAAATATTGAATATCAAAATATTAATATTCAAATTCACTTTAATTATCCAAATTATGGGTTTCAATTCAGAATCTTCCATACTTCATATTTTTCAAATAAATATGTGTCTTTAATAATTACATAAATATTATATATAAAAAATAAGTTTGAAATATTCTAAATTTATTGAGAAATTGTTTATACTCTAATAATTAATGATGATAATAAAACATATATTTAAGTATTATAGTTACTAATAAGGAAATTCAATTAAAATCATCATTAAAAATAAAGACAAATATAATTAATCAAAATTGAGATTTTACAAATATACTTTAAGGATATAAAATCTATAAATTTGTAAGAATGATTATAACATAATTATAAAATTTAAATGATTGTGAAAGAATTAAATTATTTTACAATATTAACTCCCTTTTTATGAATAAAGTATAATACCTTTATCTACTTTAATTTTTCAAATTATTAAAAGTAAATATTTTGATTTATGAATTATTAATTAAATCAAATATTGTTTAACTTTACAATACATTAAATTATTTAACTGTAAATAGGTTTTCAGTTGAAATATTTTTATATATCCATTTTTTATCAATATTTTAACCGAATATGCTACCAAAATTAATAGTAAGGAACTAGACTAATACCTAATTTCAATATAATTTGCTAAATTTATTTAGGATTTAATATTAAAATTATTACATGTCATATTATGATTATATAGTTGAGCAAATTTCGATGATCAAATTATAAAGACTATGAATAATTGATGTTTTCTCATTAAATATTTAATTTTAGTAAATAACTTAATATTATAAAAAAAATTTCAGGAATAAACTAATTAGCGTTAAAAACCATATTCCCTATAGTTCAAAATTTTTTCTTCGTGATCATCATTTATTCAAAAATAATTAAAAGTTATTGTTAAAATCACATGTATTTAAATAAATTTATTGAAAAATATATAAATGATATAAATATAATCAAAAATAACGAAACAATATTATTAAAAATAACTAAATAAAATCTGGAAAAATTATTTATAGCATCATACTTCTTTTGCATATTTAAATAATTGATTAATAAATATTTATGTAAATATTTATAAATAAAATTTAAAGTAAAAATATAAAGGAGATATATGGAAATATCATATATTACCTTTCATTTTTAATTGTTAAAAAATTAATATACATTTTTTAAATTATCATTAAATCTAGAATAGAATAAAAAAATTAAATGAAAAAATAATAATCATAAAAATACTTAAATATATTATTATAAAATATAATTACAAGTAAGAAATTTCGACATATAAAGGGAAATTTAATTAATAACATAACTTTATTACTACTTTATTAATTATTTTAATGGTTAATAATTATGAAAGTAATAAAATATAAATCAAATTTAAATATTTAAGAAGCAAATATGAAAATATTCTTATAGGAAAAAAATCATAAAAATTAATTATCCTGGTTTCATTAATTAAAAGATATTTTTTATGAGCTGTTTACAATATTAAGTATCCCATTTTTTGTTTTATTTTTATTCTATTTTATCGAAAATTAGAATTAAAATTGTAAAATCTTTAGATTGATTATTTTTAATTAGTATTATTTTGAAAAAATTACACATTATATCATTGTAAAAAATTTGCTACCTTTTGTATGTTTTTTACATATTTTATATCACACTAATGAACTACTAAATCAAAACCTTTGTGTTTAATGTTTATTCATTTATTGTGAAATATTCTTATTAGATTTATTTTAATTTGACATGATTTATATGGGTGTAGACATTGTTTTTTGTGATGTAATAATTATTTAGTTTTTAAAGAATAATCAATCCAAAGAAAAGTCTTAGATTCCGCAGAGCATGTTTTCCTAAATCCTTATTCACCTTATCTAAACCCAAAAGAAAAAATATGGAGGTATTATAACATTAGTTTATCAAAATCAAATTGCAGAACAGAAATTAAACTCATTTAGGGAATAACTAAATCATTTATCCCAAACATATTGAATGAAAAATTTATTAAACTTAAAGGAGTTCAATGCTAATAGATGAACAAATTCTTTGTGAATATTTCTTTTTAAATTGTTTTAACCTATAAAATTACAATATTTTTTTATAATTAATATTAAAATTAAGAAAAATTGTGAAAATATCATTCATAATATTAAATTAGATTTTATAATTTATTAAATTATATAAGGTACTTCAAGATGCATAAAAATTATTCATAAATAAGTATNTTGATTAATAAATATTTATGTAAATATTTATAAATAAAATTTAAAGTAAAAATATAAAGGAGATATATGGAAATATCATATATTACCTTTCATTTTTAATTGTTAAAAAATTAATATACATTTTTTAAATTATCATTAAATCTAGAATAGAATAAAAAAATTAAATGAAAAAATAATAATCATAAAAATACTTAAATATATTATTATAAAATATAATTACAAGTAAGAAATTTCGACATATAAAGGGAAATTTAATTAATAACATAACTTTATTACTACTTTATTAATTATTTTAATGGTTAATAATTATGAAAGTAATAAAATATAAATCAAATTTAAATATTTAAGAAGCAAATATGAAAATATTCTTATAGGAAAAAAATCATAAAAATTAATTATCCTGGTTTCATTAATTAAAAGATATTTTTTATGAGCTGTTTACAATATTAAGTATCCCATTTTTTGTTTTATTTTTATTCTATTTTATCGAAAATTAGAATTAAAATTGTAAAATCTTTAGATTGATTATTTTTAATTAGTATTATTTTGAAAAAATTACACATTATATCATTGTAAAAAATTTGCTACCTTTTGTATGTTTTTTACATATTTTATATCACACTAATGAACTACTAAATCAAAACCTTTGTGTTTAATGTTTATTCATTTATTGTGAAATATTCTTATTAGATTTATTTTAATTTGACATGATTTATATGGGTGTAGACATTGTTTTTTGTGATGTAATAATTATTTAGTTTTTAAAGAATAATCAATCCAAAGAAAAGTCTTAGATTCCGCAGAGCATGTTTTCCTAAATCCTTATTCACCTTATCTAAACCCAAAAGAAAAAATATGGAGGTATTATAACATTAGTTTATCAAAATCAAATTGCAGAACAGAAATTAAACTCATTTAGGGAATAACTAAATCATTTATCCCAAACATATTGAATGAAAAATTTATTAAACTTAAAGGAGTTCAATGCTAATAGATGAACAAATTCTTTGTGAATATTTCTTTTTAAATTGTTTTAACCTATAAAATTACAATATTTTTTTATAATTAATATTAAAATTAAGAAAAATTGTGAAAATATC